TAAAATATTGATATGTGAAGTTATTTTTATAAAAATAAAATGACTTATCCTCTACAAAAGATAGACTTTTTAACCTATCCTTTATTTTACATACTTATCGTGTCAAAAAAACTTTTCAATGCCATTCTTCAAAACATAACTTTACTAATGCAAAATAAACAAAATGTTGCGGCAATCACAAAAAACATAGTATAAAGAAACATAGTCTAAACAACAAATTTAGTGTTATAATTTTATCTTTATAAAAAAAAAATGCTGTCGCTTTGGGTTACTGTTTTTTATGCATATCTAAAAATATTCAAACCTTTAAGTATTTTTTTACTAGATGTTCAAAAAGGAGAGTGTAATGATCTTTTCTTTATTTGCCTTTGTGGCTGCTGATACAGACTGTTACGTCTTGGATAAAATAGATCTATCAAAAATGTAAAACAACAAAAAAAAGAGCTTGTTCTGATTTATATAACAGTAACAAAAGTTTGTATGATTTAACTATTAATAGGTTTAATAAAACATATTTCTATTTGTTTGAAAATAATCAACTTCATGGTTGTATTATTTTACAGTGCACATTAACGAATCCTTTAGGACAGCTTGCGGCAGATGTAGTCCGCAAATGAAACAATTTGTCTAACAATTCTTCAAGATATATAAAAAAGTTTTGCCCCAACACCTTGAGGACTTCATTAACAAATACGATCCTGGTAGATAATACATCGATGCTGTGATAGTTGAAGTCGACAACTATAACTTTTAAAGTTATATTGTAAAATTGAATTATACATTTCAACAGTTATTGCTGATCAATTGGTTTGAAGTTGTTGTAACCAGTTGTTTTATTTTATTTTCATACAAACATTTATACTCCTTTTATATGATTTTTATTTGCAACACATGGGTGTAAAATTAAAAATATCAACATTAATTTGTATCAAATCGTCATTTCTTGCTCGATGTCAGAAATATAAATATCTGGTTACCGAGCTTTGCTTGGTATTTAGTCATTTAGTATTTTTTTATTTCGTTTCGACATTTTTAAGTGAACACGTTAAGAAGACACAAAGCAATATAAAAAACACTCATTGACTTCCTGTTACCTCACGACGCCATCTGCTATTGTGTCGTTAAAGAAATTACTAAAAGCAATTAACAAAAAGTATAATTATTCGCCAATAGATGTCAGGAAGAGTCATATTTTAAATTGGGATTACTCTTCTTTTTGTTTTTTTTTTTTCATAAAGTGACTTTTTCTAAAATATGTAAAATACATAAAATGACATTATCAAAAATAAATATATATAATAGAATGATTCCTTGCTAGATCTATTAATCATCCCCAAAACCCTCTATATACTAAATTTCATGATAATCGTTGGAGCTGAATCCGAGATTCCAATTATATTGTATTTATATACATATATACAAAAATTGCTTTTAATATTGCCTCTGTAACACCGTTAGGCATATATAACTATTATTCAAATTAGAAATGATGTATTCTAATAAAAAATAAACATTTCTCATGTTTTTCTCGGAACTCGAGATATTCATCGGGTAACTTCGCTTTAATACAGCTTTAAGATATTTCCAGAACATGTGGTTAATATTTGGACTGCATCTTCGACAGGATTGTTGAACAGCTTCTAAAGTATTCACTGTGTAAAGCTAATGTTTAAATAAATACTAGTTTTTTTTTATGTCCCAAATGGACAAGCGAGCAGACGGCCTACCTGATGGTAAGTAGTTACCGTTGCCCATGGACATCTGCAACACAAGGGGTGTTGTAGATGCTTTGCCGGCCTTGTTTGTAAAGGAGCCACCTGAACACGTGATGTTTGAAAAAAGTTGATTTAAAAAGGTTTCTTGTAATTTTATTTTACTTGAAGTAACTTTATTTCTACACTGACAATTTTACTATCAAAATACTAAGTTATAAAATTACTATAATTATAATTTTCTGAATTTAAAGGTAACAAAACGAGATAAGTATAAAAAAACGCCTTATAAAATGTCGATTTAAACGCGGTTGTAATTTATGTTGTATTTTAAATTACTTTATAGCTTTCAAATAATTTAATACACGAAATTTTTTCAAGCAAAAAGTTTGTAAATTCTTTGAAATCATGTAAATTATCTAGTAGTTTAGCCATGTCCAATTTCTCGAACACATATTGTGGTTCAGCAGCTATAGACACAATCACAGAAAGTACAATTACGAGTTTCATTTTTGTTTTCAGTTAAACCTGAAAATTATTACAGATGTTTTATATCTCAACCACTTTATTATTTTCCTTTATAAATTTGTTTTATCTCAATGAGTAAGTTTAAAAACGGAACCAAATTTCTTCATACCTTAATATAATGTCTGCCTGACTTGCTAGAGTTCGCAAGAAAGTGAATGCAAGTGATTGAGAAGTTGCTATTTTATAATCACAATTTTATAGCAATAATCACTATTACTGAGTCACTGGTGGCCTAGTGGTTAAAGGCTCACCTCTCCTACATGAGGGCGCGGGTTCGATTCCGACAAGTACTAATGTGATTTTTCCGAGTCATATGTACTCTCTGAGAGTATTTAGTTACCACTAACAGAAGTTGAAGGAAAATATCGTGAGGAAACCGAGACTTATAATTTCACAATTATAAGTTTATATCACCAACCCGTCTTGAGCAAGTCTAGTGGTTAATGGATTCCTAAAGAGGGTTGATATCAGGCAGGCGGCCGATCGTAAAAACAATTATCCAAAACTATTTATAACATGTAAGAAGACCCTGGCTAAAGCTAAGATGTTGCCAGGAAGAAGAAGAATCACTATTCCCTCTTTTATAAAAATTTATTTAACAAAAGATTTCCGTTATACCCCTTATTTGTGGTTTTAATTTAAAAAATAGTTTAACACAATCTCTAGTATCACATGATAGTAATAGGTAATAAGTAAGTTTTATTCTGTGGATTTACTGAATGTCGTTCAACTTGTGCTTATTACTGTGATGTAAAAGATAAACGTAAAATTTTGACATTAAAATATAGTTTCACAGTCTTAATTTTCAATTATTATTATTTACTTAAAGCAATTCACATCGTGTTACTGAATTATTGTTTTGTAAAGTTATGTTTGATCGAATATTAAGACATGAAATACAAGTCCAACACCATAGAATTTACCTTTAAATGCCATACCCTAACAAAACGTTATTTGTGAGGTTACAAGTTCATCATCATCATTTCAGCCGAAAGACGTCCACTGCAGGACATAGGGCTCCCCCAAGGATTTCTACGACTACCAGTCTTGTGCCACCCGCATCCAGCGGATTCCCGCGACCTTTGCAAGTTACAAGGGTTAAATTAATAAGATAACTATCCGGGCTACGAGTAGTAAGCTTAAAATGCCATATTTGGAAGGATTGTTAAAATAAAAAAAGCGGTTTTTGCTTACATGAGCTCCTAAGAATAAAGCAAATATTTATTTAAAGAGTTATCAAATGATATAAATATCTCTGTAGAAGCTCTCTGTGCTACATTAATGTTCAATCAGCGATTGACTTTGGAAGTGCTGTAGGATCTAGTAAGTGTTTTTTTTATTTTTTATTACTAAATTAATAACAGTTACCAGCAAAATATTGTGTTTACAAATGTCGATTGAACATCTAGTATCGGTACAACAGTTCGTAAAACTGTTTATACTAATATATATACTATATATATTTATACTTTTTAATATTTTTTGAAAATTTTTGCTCTCTCTTAGTCTATGTCATATAACTGCATTTTTTTAATTCTCTGTTAACTTCTACCTCGACTGTTGTAAGTATATAATCGGCTTTACTTTTTAAGTTAAAGTTCCAATAAATATTTTTTCTTTTGAATATACAATAGGTATAGAATCTTGTTACCGATTTCAATAAAGCATAAATTCATAGATCCTTATATTTCATAAGGTTGTATTGAAAACTTGTAAATACTTTTATTTGAAGAAAAGAAAATTTGATAATGTGCATATTACATTTCAATGCCAAGTGATTTCATTCATAAATCTTAACATTAATTTGTTAAACACGCTTAAGACTTTCTTAAGAAAGAAGCACCAATTTAATTTCCAAGACATATTAAATTGACATGACATGACATGCTATTTTTTTTAAGTATTCATACCTTTATTATCATTAAGTCCCACATCATTATGGACCTCCAAATCAATCTAATATAACTTCGATAATCGCCAAAATCGTAACTTCATAATAAAATAAAGTAATATTTAGCATATTTGTAAAGAAATAGAGATACATAATAATAAAATAATGTGTACTCCTATGTACTGCAAATAGATATAAATATATAAGTCGTCTTTTATCAAAAAGTCAATTTCAAACAATACAGGAGTTAATTAAAGAAAAGAACATTAGGTTTCAATCCGATAGCTGTTAAATTATAAACTTACATTGTAACTTTTTTATCCTATCACTGGTGCATTACTACATTCATTAAAAATATAACAATATGTTCCGAATCTGGATGTTAAAGGTCGTATAAAAACAATCGTAATTTTATGGATATTTGGCTTAGATGTAAAATATATCTATGTTTATTAAATTTAATTGCAATTATTCCATCTTCCAACCCCAAAAAAAATGAAAAATCTTAATTCCCAAGGATTTTGTTAGAAGTATAATATTGATATTAGAAGATATTTTATATAAAAAAGGGTCACCTAACCTTTACTTAATATCAAACCTACCCTATATTTTACTTATCGTGACAAAAAAACGTTGCAATGCCATTCTTAAATACATAGCTTTACTAATGCAAAATATAAAGACTGTTGTAGCAATCACAAAAAAAACATAGTTTAAAGAACGTTCTTCATCTGGCAACTTTTTAAACAACAAAAATTAGTGGAATAATCTTGTCTTTATAAAAAATGTTTGTTGTCGCTTGGCAACTCTTTTTTATGCACATACAAAAATATTTAAACATTTAAGTTTTTTTTTTTCAGATGTTCAAAATGAAGAGTGTAATGATTTTGGCTTTATTTGCCTTTGTGGCTGCTGATACAGACTATTACGTCCTGGATAAAATAGATTTATCAAAAATGGAAAACAACATTGAAGAGCTTAAAATTTTAATGGACTGCATCTTAGATAAAGGAGCTTGTTCTGATTTATACAACAGTTACAAAGGTCTGTTTATGTTTCAAGTGTTAAAAGGTCTAATACAAAAATATTAATATTTGTTTGATAATCATCTTAATGGCTATATTATTTTACAGTGCACATTAACGAATCCTTTAAGACAGCTTGCGGCAGATGTACTCCGGAACAAAAACAATTCGTTTCACAATTCTTCAAGTTATACAAAAAAGTTTTACCCCAAGAAGTTGAGGACCTCATTAACAAATACGATCCTGGAAGAAAATACATCGATGCTTTGTTAGTTGAAGCCGACAAATATAACGTTTAAAGCTTTATTGTCAAAGTGAATTATTCCTTTCAACAGTTATTACTGAACAATGGATTTGAAATTATTGTAACCTGTTTTATTTTATTTTCATACTTATATTTATGCTCTTTTTCTACGATTTTTAGTTTCAACACATGAGTGTAAAATTACATTATTAATGCAGATAAAAATACTGTGTCAAATCATCATTTCTTGCTGGATGTCTATTGAAGTATTGTAGTATAAATATGCATAAATTTTGATACTGCCTCATTAACACCATTAGGCAAATAAAACTGTTGCTAAAATTACAAATGATATATTCAAAAAAGAATGTACAACTTTTTATCTCTAAAATGTGAACTTGGAAACTAAATAATAAAAAATACTTACAGAAACGTTAAAGTGTCGGGACAAAAAGTTTTTTCCTGTTGACCTTTAAGTTATTTAGCAACTTATTTGAGCAATCTTAAAATACTAAATTAAATGCAGTTATATAATTATCACATTTTATTTCAAATAATAAAGAACAAGTATAACATCAAATTTTAAATAATGTATCGTCAAGACAGATGGTTATACGTGTATATATTTATTTAATTCAATTTCATGAGCATCAAAGTATTTATTGTCAATATCATATTTCTTTCGAAACTCGAGATATTCATCGGGTAACTTCGCTTTAATAGCTTGAAGATATTGCCAGAACATGTGTTTAATATGTGGACTGCATTTTCTACACGATTGTTGAACAGCTTCTAAAGTATTCACTGTGTAAAGCAAAAAGTTTTAATAAGTAGTATTTGACGTATTAAGTTTTGTTTTTATTTTATATCACTTGAAGTAACTAACTTTTAACATTTTTTATAATCAAACTAATAAATTATGCAATTACTACAATTATTGTTTTCAGAATTAACAAAACGAGATAAATATAAAAAACGCCTTATAAAATGTCGATTTTGACGCGGTCGTAATTTATGTTGTATTTTTAATTTACTTACCTCTATAGCTTTCAAATACTTTATTACAAGGAATTTTTTCAAGCAAACAGTTTGTAAATTCTTTCAAATCTTGCAAATTGTCAACTAATTTATCCATGTCCAATTTTTCAAAAACATATTGTGATTCAGCAGCTATAAACGCAATCGCAGCCAGTACAATTAAGATTTTCATTTTTGCTTTTTCTTAAACCTGAAAATTATTACAGCTGTTTTATATCTCAAATATATAAATTTGTTTTATTTTAATGAGTAACTTTAAAAACGGAACTAGACTTTTTCATACCTGAATAAAATGTCTGCCTAATTTGTCGGAGTTCGCACGATAGTGAATGCAAGCGATTGAGAAGTTGCTATTTTATAGCAATAATCACTATACCCTCTTGTGCAAAGTTTTATTCAACAAAGATTTTCATTATACCCAATAATATGTTGTTTTAAATTTAAATACTTTTTAAAGCACTCCCTATCACATGATAGTAATATGTAATAAGTAAGTTTTATTCCGTGGATTTACTCAATTTCGTTCATCAAAAATATTTTAACATATAGTCTTATTATTATATAATCTTGACTTTATTAACATCGTGTTACTGAATTATGGTAATTTTTCCTAAATTATATTTTTATAATTTTGGGACATTAAACAGATACCTATAAGATTGTCTTGTTAGGCACTATAATATTTAATTATTTTTCTTATTGATTATTCTCACATAAGAATTTGTGTACACAATTGTATGTATTATATACTAGAAGAAAACACTTTGCTAGTTGTGATAAATTAGTTTCACTTATACTCCTACTATCAGATTTAAAAAAAAACAGATAATATATGTAGCAACTACATAAATAAAAAAGCAGTTTAGAAGAATGTATGTTTAGGATAATGTTTAAAATAAGCATTTTATTGGTAAAAAAGTTGTCGTTAAAATGACTTTAATTTAGGCATCTTACATTACATTACATTAAAGATTTATTCAATTTCGGTTTCAAAAAGAGGACAAAATATGATTTTCATATTCAGTATTTTGTATTTGAAAGGCGGTGAACATGTAAGATTAATTAAACAATGAAGGTCGTTCTACCCTACTTTAATCTACAAAATCATTTCTTAAAAATTTTAAAATCTGCAATTATTTGTTTTTTCGATTATACGACTGATCACTATAATTAAAATAAAATTTGAACTATTTTAATATTATAAAACATAACATTTTTTAATTTATAAAAATAATAATTGTATATACAAAACCAGAATTAAAACAAAATGAAAACCTAATTTTATGTGATACAGAGATAGTTCAACAATCTTCAAAATATATTATGTTCGAACTGTGACTTTTATATGATAATATTGTGGAAACAAAAGTACAATGAAATACTAAATTCCAAATTTATATAATACTTATTCGGTGATATAGAAAAAGTAATTGTTATATTTTATGACCTCAAAAAAAGTGTCTGAATAATTTTCTGAAATACGCAATGAGTCTTAAACTTGTAATGAAAATGTTTTGTTTTTCTTTATACCTATCAAATTTTCTGAATTCATTCTTAGAAATTGCTTATTTTGTTGTTGGTGTTGTACTTAAATTTATAAATATAGTTAGTTTTCCTACGAGTTGGCAAATTTGTTATTTCTTTATTGGAATAAATAATTCGCTCGATCGACAAATAATATTTCTTATGTGTATTTGTACAAATAATAACGAAGATAATTAATTTAATAATTTACGATTCGTTTATCGCGAGTTCTGAATATGACTGTCCATTTTGTTATCTTGACTAAAAAAAAGACTTGTAATATAAGTATAAAAAGGAGAAAAGATTAAAATACCGGCACACCAGATATTCGTTATATATAAGGTAAGTAGTGATTTATACAATACCAAAATTAATTATCTTAGTTTATACAGCAGCCATTTTATAATATAGGTTATATTAATTATAGAAGTGAGAAATAAAATCGATCTGGGCTTAAAGAGTTTATTTCTGTTCCGTGAATTATTTGCTTATGAGTTGACTATAACTCCACACGTTTGTACGCTGGTGTTTTTAGCGGTTTCTTAATTCATTTAAATAAAATGTAACTAATTTTCTTCTTTAATCAAAGTATTGAATATTTTTAACTTAAGTAATCTTCCCATCAATCTATGTCTCATCTGTCCATAATAGTTACCTTATCTTTCATAAAATCTCAACTTTAATTTCCTTTATAAATGTTTAACTTTTTTCAATTTATCTCATTCAAACATATACTTTTTTATCACCTGTAAATTTGGTATATAATAACATTGTCTTTTAAAAGAGATGCCTAGTTCGAGTAGTGCTTTTTAAAAGAATATCAACTAATGCTTCATGCATAAAAATGGTTTTGAATCAATTTTGTCTTATTAAAATTTTATTCCACTGTGATTTGATCCAACTTAATGTTGCGTATGCACTCACCAGTGAATGTACATATTTAATAGAATATTACGCTTATTGTTATAAGCATTAATGATAACGATAATAATTAATTTTTTAAAGATTAATAAAAATCTGTTGTGTATTTTATATGGTTAAATATATACATAAATTTAAACACATTAAAAACCCTTAACAAAACTATATTTAGACACGAACATATTTTGATGGACAAGTATTACAAATGATTTATTTATATTTAATATCTAAAAAATACAATTTGCTTACAGCAAGTCATTTTTTTTGTGCTTATATAATTTATTTAATAGTTATTATTTGCTATCACGCTGCTTGCGGGTGTATCGAAATAATGTTTCACCTCTCACCTTTTAATTTCGATAAGTAGGTACTTCAGTCTAATATGGTAGCTACATCTGCAAAGTAAAAAACATTCAGTGTTCACAAACTTATATTATTATTAAATGCACGTAATGCAATAACGTAATATTTTTAAATTCATAATTTCTTTACAATCTTATTTACTTGTTACTTTCCATTGATATGTAATGTTTAAAGTTCTTCCTCAAATTTATTTACGACAAAAATTAGCATTGAAGTAATAAAAAAGTAGTATTTAAATAATTATTAAGTGAATAATTGAAATCTCGATATATATAAATTAAAATGTGAATTAAATATTTCCGATGCGAATAAAACCATAGCATAAGTTCAAATTAGCATCATTGTCGATATTTTAACTATGAATTCATTAGTGCCCTTTTTTCTTCTTATGCCTCTTTTCCGCATTAAAGTATTCAAGATTACAATATAATAAAGCTGTTTAAAACTGTCTATATCTTTTGTGGGAGAAAGCGATAATAATAATCAAGTGTCTGTTTCACTATTTGTCTTAGTGAATTATTTATACGTCACCACATTGTCCGAAAAAATAATCTTGATTTTCATCACATAAAACAACGGTTCATTCTCAACCACGGTGATCAATAACAATTTAATTTTCTAAATAGGAAAAAATATACACTCGGAACTATGAAAAAAACCTATTGTAAAAACTATTAAATTTAACCATTAATTTTCAAATTTGTGCGGTAAAAGGTTAAGTAATGAATAATTAAAAATATAGAAATTATATAAAAACTATATATATCATCGTTGTTGTATTGTTACAAATATTTGTCAGACCGATTAAGTTCAGATCGCTTCAAAATTCGGATAAATTAACACAAATTTGTAACTTGCTATAAGACCAAACCGATGAATAATGGAATTTGTTCACAAATCTTTAGTTTTATATTTCGACCTTTTTTATTTGCCATTTAACATAAATAATATTGAATTTGAAGACAATTCATTGGCTACAAACCATCTAGTAATTACATCAAGAAAGCCTATATATTACATTAATAAAGCCTGAAAAATATTTTAACATATTTTCTCAAGATGGTGAAAAATGAATTAAATTAACTCCCATTAATTACTTAACACTCAATTTAACTTTCCTAATAAACTAATATTTAACTTTGCAGGTGTTAAATCTAAAAACAAAATGAAGCTGCTTATTCTCTTAGCTCTTGTCTCTTTTGTGGCTGCAGAGGAACAGCTTTACTCCTTGCAAAAAATTGACCTGTCGAATGTGGGCGAAAATATTGGGGAGTTTAAGAAATTTATGGACTGTCTGTTAGACAATGGTCCCTGTTCTGAAGTATACGAGAGTTACAGAGGTAAGTTTTGTATATAATGTAACAAAATTGATATATAATTTTTACTTAAAAATAAAATTCAACTATACTAACATATGTAAGACGTATTGATGATACACAAAATACTTATTGCTATTGTTTATTGTTATTTACAGTTCGCGTGAATGAATCCCTTCAATCGTCCTGTGGAAAGTGTACTCCTGAATTGAAACGATTTGCTGTTGAGTTCTTTGACGTACTCAAAAAATACTTACCTCAAGAATATGACGACTTCTTAAAGAAATATGACCCAGAAAACAAATATTTTGACGTTTTTATGGCTGAAGTCTTAAAATACAAAGTTTGATGTTACTTTTTAAAATAAATGTTTTATAAAATTTATAACATTGGTTTGTTACTTTTTTTACTTTGATTTTATGTTTCTCAAGTTATTATCACATGTTCGTGAAATGACTCTTAAAGTAGTTCTACATTAACATGGCTACTGTATAAGATAAAATTATCACTGTCTGGATTACTAATAGAGTAAAAAAAAATCCTACCAAAATATGAACATTTTTTTCATTTCATAGTACTCGTAGTAGAAATCGTTTCAGTTAAAAAAAATAGTCATACTCATATTACGACTTTTTTGGTTATTACAAATTCTTTCACGAAACTGGTTCATACAATGATATAAAGTTATATATTTATATTGAAATACCTATATTTATGAATTTGTGAAAAGGATTAATTTCTAATCTTGTTGTTCTCCGAGCCTTGCACGGGTGAACAAAAGATTATCGTTATATTTTTAAGATTAAAAAGATTATAAATTTTAATGTGGTTTTATTTTTTAACACAGTCCCAAAACTTCATGTATTCAAATTATATTTTTTTTATAGTACGAGTACGCCTGGCCAAAAGAAATATCAATTACGCATGAAAGTAGGGATATAATAGCTACGTTTTATATGCTATCAAAGAAATAAAACGGTCATATAAAACGTTAATCAGAATCTCCAACTATCTTATAAATAATAACCCGAAAATAAAAATGAATTTAATACTAAAAACTATATTGGAAGTCTGTATTTTTTTGAAAGAGATTTGAAGTGATTTATTAATACACCACACAGCCAAGTGACGATAAGGTGGTCAAGGTTTAGGAAGCATTTATCTACATTTAATTTTTTAGGCTGAGGTTAAACTTGACAAATACTTATCTGTCTCGCTTAATTAAGATATATATTAAGTATACAAAAAATGCAACATAAATTTGATTATCAATTAAATATATTCGCGTTCCACAGACAAATAGTAGAGGTTTCAGAAAACCAACTAAACATACTTTAAATGCCAATATTATATTACTAAAACTTGTTTACTATTGCAATTTATTTACTTTGGTGTGAGAATAGATTTCTCTTTAAATTGTCTTTATAGAAATTTCTTGATTTCCCCGCTATAAGGAACCCGTAATATACATATTTTCACAAGTAATGACTCACTTAATATATTCAGAATAACTTTAAATTTGATACTCGTATTACTGATGCAATACAGTAATGGAAAATTTTGCAATAACTAATAATAAATATGCAAATAATAATGACGCACTTTATCGTTGTAGTTGTATAATATTACGTATCAATTGAAGACGATTTTATAAATCAATAAAATAAAATGTGTTGGAATGAAACTAATAATTTGGATATATATACTACGCGACTTTATTTTTGATTAAAGCTACATACTCCCGACGTTTCGGTTACTTTACAGCAAACGTGATCGCGGGCAGACGAGATGTGTTAGAATATTAATTGCAACATAAAAGTTATAAAATAATTTAAGATTTATTTAATAAACTTTTGACAAACCTCTTTTGTTTTGTTTCATGAAGAAATAGTGAAACTAAGAAATATAATCCCTATCGTCTATAAGATTATACGTCATACATAAATCCTATTAAATATTTATAATTTAATGTTTCTTCTTACATCACTTACCAAATATAAAAGGATTGTTGAGAACTCTATAATCTTACTAGAACTTTAGATTCCAAAGATAAAGAAGATAAAGGTAAATGGGTTGTTAAGTTTATAAAAACTAGGAACCGCCATTTATTAAAACAGCTCTGTAAATTATTGAGGTATTAATTTGAAATCTCTTTAAAGTTTGTGAATTCAAACCATTGTAAAAGTGCTAAATTTTTAGAAAATAGTAAAATACGTATGTAATATAAGAATAGTGTATCGTCGAAAGTCTTTTGATAATGCGGGCTACACGTGTGTTTAACTTGTTATAAAATAACAGTTTTCTAATAAAATTCTGAAAAAATAGCAAACTGTATATCGGAACCAGAACCATCTTATATAATCTTATCATTAATTTTAATGTACTAGGGTCAAGTGTAAGATTATGTGAACTAGAAAACAGAGAAGAAAGCAAAAAAATTAAAGTTTTTATAGTAAAAAATTAAAAGGAATAATACCTACCTTAATTGAAACAAATAAAGACTGTTAAGAATAGTGGAGTGTCCGTTTTTGAATAGTTTATATGTCCATATATTAAGTAGATTAAACTTGTTTTGATTAAAGCCACTTCTATAATTCTAAATTGTGTTGTGTTAATATTTTTGATACAACGTTATGATGATATGTGTTTAGCTAGTAAGGTAGAATAGAATAGAATAATTTTATTACCAAAATGTTGTATGTTGAGATTTAAATCTATTCAGAAGATAGATTAACTATAAAAAGATACAATAACTACAAATACGTATTATTTTACAGGTCTGACACCATAATGAAGGCTATCTTTTTAGTATTCCTCTTGCCTTTTGTGCTAGACTGCATAACAGCAGACGAAGAATATTACGTTTTACAAAAAGTGGATCTGTCGGAATCAAGCAACATAGTTGGAGTGATGAAAAATTTTATGAACTGTTTACTTGAGAGAAGTCCTTGCTCTGAAGCTTTTGAGGGCTACAGACGTAAGTCGCAATTTAACTTACATACAATGTTATTTTTGTCACACTATCATAATAATATGTTTTATTATACTACCTAAAAAATACAAACACACTGATTAACAGTGTACGAAACGCTGTCTCATCACTAAAAAGTTATCTCTTGCAGAAAACCAAAATATGTACATATGTATTAATATGATTTATGAAAATTATAGTTTGCATACCAGAGGCGTTTCAGCAAGCCTGCAAAAAATGTAGTCCAGAACAGAAGCGATTCGCTGCCAAGTTTCTCGAATCTCTCAAAGATAAGATGCCTCAAGATTATAATGACTTCATAAAAAAATATGATCCCGAAAACAAATACTTCGATGCCCTTCAAGCAGAATTAAACAAATTCATTTAAATTTTTTTCTGAGTGTTTACTGAAATTTTGTTTTTTTTTTTGTTTAATATTAAACTGGAATATAAAAAGTATGTTGTATCATTTATCATTGATTCTTGACCAAAAGCGAATAATACATATACTTAAAATTTTACTATCCCCTTATTGTTTATATTAGTATTTTGTTCACAATTTTTTCTTCGAACACTTTGAAGAATTAAAATTCTGCGACATATATAATATTATTAATTTTACTCACAGTTCTCTAAATATCTTATTACAATATTAAAATAATAATTAATTAATAATTATAATAATAATTCCATTATATTGAATTCATAATGATAAACCCAAGTGGTTTTTTATATCTTTATATCTGTCAGGTAAAATGATTACACAATAGTCAATGTTTCTAATTTTTAGTCTCTTATTTGGGTGCACCGACATTCTTTAGACTTATTACCAGTCTAGTATAAAAAATCATTTGTTTTATAAATCAGAATTTGATGTAGTATTGGATTGCAATCTTACTTTTAATTTTATTTATGAAGTCACTAGTTGTGATTTACATTTTCGTTCATTTCTGTAAATTACTTTTGTAGTAGCTTAAGTTCTTGTATTTTAAATTTTTATCATCCCATCGTTTTATCTTGCATTTAGTCTTTTATGTGGAAACTTATGTTTCAGATATCTATGGGCGTTGGTGACTACCACCATCAGGTAAGCCGTCTGCTCGTTTACCACCTTAAGCATAAAAAAAAAACAAAACATTCTTAGCTGAACGAATTTTTTATTATTCCCAATACTACAACTTCTACGTTTGGTTTTTATTATTATAATTGTTTTAATACATATATCTAACAAGGACGACAAATATTTATAAAACATTCATTGACATAATAGTTTTATCATCTTTAAAAGATGTTATAAAAGCTTATTCTTTATTTGGTATAAAAAAAAATATTATATATTTTTATACGAATATAAACACTCAGTCAAATCATTACTTGCATTAGAATGAAAATTAAATAGCTTTAATTCTTTTACAAAATAAGGAAACCTGAACATTACTGATTACTCTAACTATAGTATCACGTCATTGGTTGTCATTTAATATATTTTACATATGTATATTATTTTTAAATATCGGTACAAGGATGCAAAAAAAACTACTATCATTATGTAATTTCATGAACTAAAGCGAATTTATATTAAAAACAAGACAATATATAATTGTGTGATAGACAAACTGGAGAAACAGAAAGGGTATCCACAAATCTTATTAAAGTATAAATGGCTCTGATTTAAAGTTGTAACCAACAGAATTAGGAGCATTACGCAAAGGATATGTTTATTTAAATTTGCACAATATATGCGAATACCATAAATACATTTTATGGTCTTTTCTTTATTTTTAAAATTCTTTAACTTCAAATATATGTAGTTAAAAAAAAAGCAAATAAGTAACAATTTATTAAATGAACTCCTTTTTGGCTGAATTTTTAAATTAATTACACTTTAACTATCATGTTCAGTACGTATTACGTTTTTTCGTAGTTATACCATTAAAAAAGACATTAGAAAATTAATTAGTTGATATGTTAAACGGTTCCGTGTATTTTCGTATAAAGGCTGGTTAAAATTTTCCAAACCAACATTAAATTTGTAAATGTATCACAGTGCAGCGCAGATTATAAATGGTAATTTTAGTTTACTTTATAATTTATTGCACTAAGACACTTATTATATATAAGATACTTATTATATTTAATGTGCACCATAAACCCTTTTCAAATAATTCTACTTATAACTACATCTGTTCACACTTTTTAGTGATCTAGCAGACAACATGAGCAATTGATTGAGATATAACATTTCTACCTTTCTACAAATATGTAAAACCTTAATGGTTTTTTTTTCATAGAAACATAATAATGGGAATAATAGATTTTATTTTTATTTACAGAATCGCAACAAAATGATGATTATAATAACTCTAGCTCTTGTGATAAATGCAGTAGTGGCTGACGAAGAAAAGTACGACTTGCCATTATTAGATATGAAAGAAATAGCCAGAAATCCAGTGGAGCTAAAAAGCTTTTTGGACTGTTTACTCGATAGAGCTCCTTGCAAAGAAGTTTACCAGGGCTATAGAGGTAGCTTAAATAGTTTTCAATTTAATATATTCAAATTATGCTTTACTCTCTTTTATAATTAGAAGACGTAATAACGAACCTAAAAATAATTTCAGTAGTTTTATTTCTGCTATTTATGTTCTATTATGTTCTCTTTTTTAGAGGAAATGTCTTGTTAGATTTTGTATTAAACTAACATGAGGATTGAATTACTGAACTTACATTTTTTTTCCCCAATTTTAGTTTTTATTCCGGAAGCAATATTTTTAGAACTACAAGTACATGTTTGCCTGTACCAGGATAGCTGCTTTTATTAAATTTAAGTGCTTAACCTTCGTTCATTAAAGATAGTATGATAAAACATAAAATCACTCACATATAGTTCTATGTATACCTATATATTATGTTACACATAGTTATGTATATATATTCTTTTATCATAAATATTATTTAAAATCACTATTTATATATAATATCTTTTTACTTGCAGATTTAGCACCAGAATCAATCAGAGAGGCTTGCGGAAAATGTACCACAGAATTGAAGATATTCGCTTATATTTTCTTTGATACGCTCAAGACCTTTGTGCCAGAAGAATATCAAAACTTCAGAAACAAATATGATCCTGATAATATTTATATCGATAGACTAGAAGAGGAAGTCAGCAAATATAGATTTGCAGCATTAGCTAGCTAAACTTTAAAGTAAAATAAATTGAATTGTTATTTACTACAAAGCATTTAAATAATTTCTATGTAGTAGGTAAGGTATTTATAAGAAATAAATGGATTATATCGTTTGAACGTATTTTTTTTTTATATTTGAGTTCTTTTGTCTTTTTTATATGTCAGTTCTTAAAGTCCTTTTGGTACTCTTACTAATTTACATAATATGTATTTATATTATCTTAATATATAACAAAATTGCGTGTGATTGACAGCAGGGTATGTTAGGTTTTATATTCTTCAATGTCTGTACTCTTTTTCCTGTCTGTTCAACGCCAATTGTCGAAGTAGTAATTAAAAGATCAAATTTTTTCTAAATATCTAGTTTGTGGAAACATTATCTGAGAAATAAGTGGGTTACATAGAAAATGTTTAGAACTGGCATGCTAGAAACATTGCATTTTTTTGTTATTTGTTTTTAGGAATTGGCGGCAAATCTAAAACTTGTGTTTCAAGTGAAAAATAAACTTTACGCGAAAAAAAATTCGCTGTTCGCTCCCTCAACAATAAAGCTATGATAGGCTGTGACTAGCATTTATCAATAAATCGTCAACTCGTGCAACTATTTAAATTGGTTTAATGAGTTTTGGCTTGGACGTAGCAATCTCAATGATAATCTGCATGAAGGATGTCTTTTAAAAGCGACTGCTAGAGATAAAATCACTAGTCAGTGTTGTACGAAGCATGATAGAGGACGATAAAAGAGTGACCTTTCAACATTTACAGGAAAGCCTAGGCATTGGTATAAGCCAAGTTCACACAATATTACACGAACACTCAGGCGTCAAAGAGCTTTGTAGTAGATATTTTCCCCCATACTTTAACCAACGACTAGAAACACCTTTATATGGATTAGTTTCGCCAAATGTTAGATAAGTTCAACGGCGGTGACACATAAGCTATATTTGACATAGTCACAGGTGATGAAACCTGGATAATTTGATACGTCCCCGAAACCACAATGCAATTAGCTCAGTGAGTATTTTTTTTCGAGGATCAGCCAACTAAAGCAAAGGAAGGAAGAAGTCAAGGAAAAAAGATGATTTTCATTCTTTGTTCGGAAAATAATTTCGCGATACTTCTCCTTGGAGGGAAAAGGGCAGTTACGACAAACTCGTATGTCAATCGCTGTTTGTCTGTTGTCTTTGAAAAAATCAACATCAACGCCTTTGAAGCTGGATCCTCTTTCACCATGACGATGCTTCAGCGTACTCCATAGAACAAACTGTTGAAAACTTGAATATAGCAGGTGTCAAGATAGTGTGTCATCCGCCATACAGTCATCACTGAGACTTTTATTTATTCCAAAGAACTAAAGATAAAATTGAAGGCATTCGCTTTACGAGGCCTGAAGATTCCATTGAAGAGTCCGCTAAGGATGAATGGGCTCACTGGTTTTCTCAATGGTTCCGTTGAATGCGACGGTGTGTATATAGGAAAAAAGATTACTTTGTTAAAAACATTAAAGTTTTGTCAACTTTCTACATTAAATAGTTTTTCATTGTGAAAACATTTTAATCATTAATTTATTGCCCTTAAATTAGTATATTTTAAACTTCATAATTTTAAGTATTATTTTATAATTTAAAACATATAAATAGAAAAGTACATAGTTGCAAAATTATTTTGTTAGATATTCAATCGATTTGCAAAATAAGCGAAGGTAACAATTAATTTTTAAAGTTATTTTACAAATAGTATGTAATGGTTTTTTTAATGTAATTTAAAACATCGGTGATTTTATATTTAAAATTTCATTTAAATTAAAATTAAAATATTCTCGAAAAATAAAACATTGTAGTAAAATGTGCTCGTAAGTACGTGTAACGTAAGTAGTTGAATCTCTTCTTCCTAGTGGAAATTTGTTTTGTTAAAATAGTGCTATTGTTAAAAACTGCAATGTTGTTACAAACATTGTAATTTAGATAATTATTTCTTTCATTTGTCGATATAATGTTTGTACTTGTGAGAAAATTTAATATTAGGTTAAATCATATTGAAAAGTCTCTTAAATTATACATTGCATAATTCTACCTGTCTTTGATTTGGTAAAAAATTATCCTGTTGGCAGAATAAACACATCCGCATCACGAGTATCTTTCTTTTGTCCATATTTATAAGTCTAGAAAGAATTTAACACTGACCCCATAGCTACTCCTTATCGAGAAATATATATTATCAGGATGCAACTTTTCCAATATATTATTATAAAATAATAATAATTTTGTACATATATACAAATCAAACATTACCTCCGTGGCAGTCACTTGGTTTCAAATGTTAAAAAATTAAATCAAAAACTTGAATTAAATTTTATGTATTTGCGAACTAAAAAATTCAGACATAAACATTACATTACGATTTTTTAATTCTATTAAGTACTTACTCATTATTATTGTAATTTTGACATTGGATATAATGTATACTGCAACATACATATGTATATTATTTTCAATATCTGCATCAATATCTAAAATGTTATAGTATCTTTGAGTAATGCCATGAAGTAAAAAAGACTACGTCAATAAATGTCTGCATATGTTTTAGTAAATATTCGTAATTAATTAATCATACAATAGAAACCAATAAAGAGGTATTTATTTTATTTTAGAATTATGTTGATATTGGTTTTGACTTGTATAAAATAGTATACAACGTCCTACACTTCCCCCCGAATAAATAGTAAATTAATAAAATGATAAAGTTTTGTCGTTGGCTGTACCAATTACTAAATTAATGTTTGTAACAATAATTAGTTGATATATATAAACGGTATCGTAAATGGTAGTATAAAAAGCTGGTTACATTTCTGGAATACAAAAGTAATTACGTCAGTACAAGGCAGCGCAGAATACGAAAGGTAAATTTTAACGTTTGTATTATATTAAAATTTTTCCACCAATTGTTTGAAGAACAAAGGTTTGTAATTTCAAATAAGTATTTAAAAACAAGTAATTTTTTATTTTGTGTAATTTGTTTCTCTCCCACTAATTTCATAAATCAATTATACAAGGGACCTTTATGGGTTTTATTGGTCTTCATGAATTAAAAATAATTAATAAATAGCTCTTTTTTTATTTAATTTTTCTATAGTTATTTTTTTTTTAAATTAATAATATTAATAAATAATAAAGGAAAATGAGATATACAGGGTGACTGGTGAATTACTATCAATATTTGAGGACGTGATATTTGACGATCATATATGACGAAATAAAAATTAATATAACATAAATATTAATAAACTTCTAAGTAAAGTTAACCAAAAGTTATGTAATTAATTACGCATCGTGTGAACACCCTACAGATTAGGTATACACTGACACTCACACATACGCGTGTCGTGACGTAGTGTTGTATCAGCACGCCGCCGCACGCGTCCACACTTGAACACTTGGAACGTGTGAACACTTTACTTATTTATACGGAAATTTTGTCACAAATTAAGTGCCTATTTTTTTTACATAATTCGAATGAGAATCATGTACCGAGTATTCTCCTTAAATATTGATAGTAATTCACCAGTCACCCTGTATATTACTAAATATATATTTCATTTTACTTTTTTTACTTCTATTTAATAATAATATATATAATTTGAATTATTTTTCTAAAATCATGATATGTTTAATTTCTTTTTAAAATGGTTACATCGAAGCTCAAACAAGATTTAATAAAGTTTTTTTTACAGGGTAAATTCAATATGATGATTACTCTAATCCTAACAGCTTTAATAATGAATCAAGTAATTGCCGAATCGTTTTATTATGACGTAGTACCCATAGATATGAAAGAGTTAGCGAAAAATCCAGCAGAGCTATTAAATTTTATGGATTGTTTGCTTGACAGAGCTCCATGCAACGACATCTACAAGGGTTACAGAGGTGAAATCAAATGTTAAATAGAAATATTTATTCTCATAAGAGGAAGGAAGTATGATATACATATATAAAAAGACGTTTGTGACTGGTTAAGTTAAATTCTACATATATTTATTTTGTAATTCATCCCTTCAAATTAAAGTAACAGAAAACAAAAATTCTGTTTAGGTTTGTTTCATTTTGTTTTGAAATTTTTTTACAAAATTAAAGTAAATATCTTTTTACCAAACGACACTTCTATAATTATGTTAAATGATATGAAATGATATGGCACTGCTGTAAAAACTTTATCGTCAACCGGTTTTTGTATTTATATTATTTGTTCGAAATGTAACAGTAACATTTTGATATTGATTGAATATTTAAAATATCACGTCGAAATTAAAACATTGCAACTACAGTTTTCTTATACTTCCAGAATACACTCCAGAATCAGTCAGACAAGCGTGCAGAAGATGCACTACAGGGCAAAAGATATTCGTCTACCTTTTCCTTCTTACACTGAAGACTATTTTACCCGAAGAATATAAAAATTTCAGAAACAAATATGATCCTGACAACATATATTTTGACAAACTTGAAGAGGAAGTGGGCAAATTTAGATTTGCAGCATTTACTCGCTAAATATGCGAGTAAATAGAGTAATTGTTGGGAAGAAAACATCAAAATTCATTTCTTTCATGATCGCTTGTTAAATAAAAATTATGTATCAAGTTAGAGTAACACCTAAAAAATCTAGTTTTTAGAAGCCTCGAGAAACTTTTTTTTATACATTATGGTGTCAGTACTTACGATCAACTACTATGTTGTTAACTGTCTTGATGTAACGCACATAAATAAACGTATGTGATATGAAATATATATATTTTTTTAATTCTCATTATAAACTTTTCAATATTATTTACGATTAGTTACTTTAAATTTGCCTTAATTAAACAAAATTATTTGAAGCGTAGAAAGAAAAACATTTTGTATCAATATAATTTTCTAGGACAAATTAAATTGAAGTTAGAATAAAAGTATAGATCTACAACTTTTTACATTATAATTTATTATTTATTTGTTGCTGAAATTGTATTTTAAGTTTACAGTTAATTTATAGTTAGTTCAATCAAGATTTTGATCATTTAGAAACAATATATCTGGCTTAAATGTTTAACCAATTATTCAATTAAATAGTTATCGGTTTCTAAGGTCACTTTGTACAGATTGTGCAATAATTATCTTCAAAAATATAAAAAATACTAGCTAGTTAGAAAAGATTAATACCTATAGATATTATGATCAAATTTGTATCACAACAGTTTAATTGATATGATTGTATAATTTATAGAAACACAATTAAATACTTACATATTATATAATTAAGGCTTAAATACAAAATAGTTCAACCAAATAATGCTGGGACATGTACCTAACAAACATTTATATTTCATATAATTTAAGAATAATTAACTGTAACCAAAAAACATCGGTGCTGACTGTACTAATGTATAATAACAACAAAGTACTAAAATTAAATGAATTATTTTTTCATAACATAATTATCGCAAATCAACAAAAGGATAAGTATAAAAGAATTGATTTCATTGCAGAATCATAGGTTCAAATTTTTACACAAATATCGTGTGGGCAGGTGAGACAAAGTGGGTTTTTTTATATGTTTATTTTTTTATGTATATAAATTTTTTATACCACTTCATCATATTACTTCAGCGTTGTCTAATTTGTATCCATTTTTCTGTTTTATGTGTGTTATTCATATTCAATAATATTAAATTAAAATTTTGAAAGATTCTAAACTACAAAAATATAGTTTATTAATGGTTAATAAATTAAATTTGGAGTAACTTTGAAAGTGCAGATAAAAGCTTTATAAATACACGTCCATGTTTAATAATAAACATATCAATATATATATTACAAAAATACTTCTACAGGTCCACCATCAACATGAAGATAGTAATTCTTTTATCATTATTGTCACTTGTGGTTGCGAATGACCACTTTTATTACAATTTGGTACCATTGGAAGTAACAGCTTTAGCAAAGAACCCTAAACAAATATTCGAATTCATTGACTGCTTGCTTGATAAGGGTCCTTGCAATGATGTATTTGAAGGCTATAGAGGTATGTTATGTAGTATAATGCAATAAAGTGTTTGCTTTAAATGAAACTACGATTTTGGGATACTATGGGTTTTTAATTATTTTATGTATAAATAGTTAGCACGTTTCGGACAAAACTTTCATCTCGTCTGCCGGTGATCACGGTTATTGTAAAGAAACTATAGCTCTAATATACAAAAAAATATTGTAAATTGTAAAACACATATGGGGATATTTTAGGTATCCCCATAAAAAATGTCACACACAAATCTGTTAGTATAGGTGGCCACGATATGGTACAATTTCGGTAAATATTTTTTCTACATATAAATTACTGCCGTACTGCATTCATGACCGTTTTAGTCTTATGAGCTATGGGCCTATCCTGCTGAAACCATGTTTCGGTTGAAGGATGATCTGCGTTCCAGCTCTAGTCTAAAATATGCTTTTAAAAATTGGGCATATTTATCAGAATACACGGTTGACCACGTTTATTTTCCAAAAAATAAGGGCCTGTTATCGCAAATGTTAAACACCACCACAACACACGAGTATATTTCTTTAGGCATATATAAATATCCTCCGAAGTGAAAGTGAGTTTCGTTACTAAAGAATATGTTGCTAATATCTGTACGAAATCTCAACAACATATCCTCTACGTAAATTAGTCATAATTCAAAAGGAGACGCTTGTAAATCCTTAACGATTTGAATTTTATATATTTAGCACTTGAGCTTTTTTTGCATTTTAAAATATGTTAGATAAAACATTGATATCTGCCACTTGACACCCTATATTGAAGAAGGTATTAAATTAGATTTTAGAAAAGTCAATAAAGTTAGTGTTTCTTTATCTACATCAGGCGTTAAGTTGATTTAGGATTTATTTTATAGGATAAGTTAGGAAATATTATGTCAGTGTAAAATCTTTTTTGTTTTTTAGTTTCTTTGTTTCACTTTTGGTTTCCTTTATTTTTAACCTAAAATAATTTTTTTCAGCCATCGCTTTGGAAGCTGTCCAGCAGGCTTGTAAAAGATGCACCCCCGATCAAAAACGATTTGCTAACACCTTTTTATTGATTCTGAGAAAGTTGCTACCTCATGAGTACCATAATATAAGATATAAATACGACCCTAAAAACAAACACTTTGATGCTCTTGAAGCAGAACTAAGCAAATATAAATATCTACCATGTCTATAAGTAAGAGATATTCAATTTAGAAACCGCCTGTTATGAGATAAACAATAATTTTCATTTAAATTCTTCTTTTTTACTTTTCCTATTACTTCAATAAAGTTTCTGTTTTTCTTAATATGATTTTAATTTTACCTTATTTTTGTCCTAACATATTATTAGGTGTTGGAAATAATTGAATATTATTGTTGTTAGTTTATACAAATTTGGATCAATACACATTAAAAACTGTCAAGAGATATTGTTATAGAATTATTATAGTCAAGATTCTATACAAATCTTTAAAGTATTTTATAAATATTTATATACATACATAACATATTGCAATGAAACTTAGTCTGTAATGTTTATAAACTTATATATGGGTAATTTCATATACTTAAATCATAAAAATAAAGATAGTTACTGGGTTAAGTAATAAAAATTAAAAGATTATTCAAAAGTCTGACATTAAACAATATAAATAAAATTGAATGAACTCTGAAATTCTTACTAGTTACTTAAAGAATAGTTCATACATTTTTAAACGATCTTAACAAGGTAGATAGATAAGCAAACAATGAGTAACGTCACTATAAATTTGGGCGTTTATCGTCTATGATTTTAATAAAACCCTTTTGTTGAAGTTATATGTAAGTGTCATAAAGGTGTTGAAGTTTTGGCTGGGACTCACGCTATTGGCTGCTTTATTAGCTTTGTTCGAGCATCGCAATCGTTTTTGGACAAGTCATTAAAGGCCATTGGAGCTCTATCAATATGGAGTTACATAACTCCCAAAAAACAAAGATGCCTCAGAATGTCAAGACTTCAATCCACAGTTTATAATTGAAGCAAACAGTAAGAGAGTAGGGTTAGGGTGATACAAGATAGCTCAAGATTCAGCTATTTAAGGTATTTTATGCCTCAAAACAGAATTATAAATATAAGATCCATGCAATTAGCTTAGAAATACAGAAGGAGTGTTACACAAAGAAGATTTATACATTCCATTAGCTCTACTGGCTCACTCTAATTCATTAATTCAAAATTTTATTTCAATGCGATCCAAGTAACTCTCCCCGATCACAGTAATTTAGTAAGATAGGGTCAAAGTGCCAGAAAAGCTGCTATATCTATGGAAAAGTTTTACGAACTACTAAGTTTACTAGTGAGATATAAGATTCTCCTGGATAGCGGTCAATACTCACGTCGTTATGATAGGGTTCTAGAAATCATACGAGAATCGGTTAGTCTTCTGGTAACCAGAGCAAAAACAATGACCATAAATATCAATTCATACTAATTAAAAACTCGGTGTTTTTTTATTTATAATTTATAATGTCACCAGTCTGTGAGTCAAACAACATCTACATTTTGTTATTACTATTATAGACATTCTCAATAACTGAAAAGGAAGACATAAATTTATAAGGCTTTTATTCACAATGACTTAATTTTCATCAACATCTAACATTATAACTTTTATTGTAATAAAGGCATTCCCTTGATTTGTTATAAAATTTTGTAATTATATTGAATATTTTGTATACTTAACCAAGTTTTATTTATTAACATTAGCATAAACATAAAATGGCATAATTCTTTTACAAGATAAACAGACCTTAACATTACTGATATCCCCTGACAATAGTGTCATGTCATTGATTTGACATTTAATATATTTTACATATATTATTTTTCATATCGGTATAAGTGTGCAAAAAACTACTATCATTATGTAATTTCAGGACCTAAAGTGGATTTATACTAAAAGAAAACGAGCTCCGTTCAATAATTAATTTGAATTTTTGCAAAGATTCTATATTAACCAATATCTGTTTTATACACTTGAAAGTAATCTCTGTTAGAAATAATATACAAGTGAGTTCATTTTGTTCCATCTTCAAAACAATATTTTTTGTTCAGCTTTTTCTACGAGGTCCTCATTAATCGTAACGAAGTGTCGTAGCTGAGCTCTAAAGAAAATATATAATTATCTGGTAAAAAAATAAGGGCAACAAAAAGAGTGTTCTTAAATCTTATAAATGTATATGTCTATGTATATCAGAGTAATTTATAATTACTCTAATTTTCATAGACATATACGTATTTATATACCTGTTACCAACACATTTAAGAGCGCCACACATATTTAAATTTGCATAACATTTCATAACATGACAAAAGAAATTTATATTTATCTCTTTTTTTCGACTAAAACTTTCGTTGTTTTCGAATAAAGTTAATAAATAAATTGAAATATTGAACATTTAATTTAAAAAAAACATTTTTTATTTATTATTTCAAACTTTTTTCTTTAATTATTTATTAAATGCATACTACTTTTTTATCGTAACAATACCAATAAAAAATTAGTTTGGAAATTAATTAGTTGATATGTTAAACGGTTCCGTAAATTTTTGTATAAAGAGCTGGTTGAAATTTTCTGAAACAACATTAAATTTGTTAATGCATCACAGTGCAGCACAGGTTACAAATGGTATTTTTGGCTTTTTTTTCTGTCATTTTTTACGATAATAAATAAGATACCACTATGCATTCTGCGCTTTGAAATCATTTTCTAAAATTTTACTTTTTAACTACATCTAATTTTCTTTTAAATCATTTCTTCCTTTTTACAAATATGTTTTTTTTTGTTACATCTGCAATAAGAATGATAATAAAAGATTTTATTTTTATTTACAGAACCGTAACAAAATGAGGATTATAATAACTCTAGCAAGTTTAGTGATAAGCGCAGTAGTGGCTGAGCAAGAATTATACGATCTGCCATTATTAGATTTTAAAGAAATAGCCAGAAATCCTAATCAGCTAAAAAGCTTTTTGGACTGTTTACTCGATAGAGCTCCTTGCATAGATCTTTACCAGGGGTATAGAGGTAGCTTGAATGGTTTTCTATTTCATATTTTGAAATTATGCTTTTCTCTCTGTTGTAATATTATGTTCCGTTTGTTAGAGGATGTTCTCTAATACTATATAAATATGTATAGTTTTTATGTCTCTATTAACATTTTCTATTAAACTAACATGAAGTACGAAGATTGAAAATGATTGAGTGTTTACAGATAATGCTAATTTATTTCTCCAATTCTTCAGTTTTTCTTTCAGTAATATACTTAAATCTACAGCTACACCAGTATAGCTCATTTTATTTAATTATAGAGTTAAAAATCCTTTAATTCATGCTAGCACAGAAAAACATAAAATCACTCGCATATAACTGTATATATTTATACATATATATTTAGATTCTTTTAACATAAATATTATTTGAAAATTATTATTTATATAAAATATCTTTTTACTTGCAGATTTAGCACCAGAATCAGTCAGAGAAGCTTGCGGAAAATGTACCCCAGAATTAAAGATATTCGCCTATCTTTTCTTTTATACCTTGAAGACCTTTTTACCAGAAGAATATCAAAACTTCAGAAACAAATATGATCCTGACAACATTTATATCGATAGACTAGAAAGGGAAGTTAGCAAATTTACTTTTGGAGCATTTCGTTTACCATAAGGCATTCAAAGGATATATTATATGTAGATTGTTACATATTTTGAAATAAATGAACTATAACATCTGAACGTATTTTTTTCCATATTTGAGTTCTTTCGTTATTATTATATATCAGTTATTGTCATTTTGGTACTCTTGCTATTATGCATATGTATATATCTAAATATTTCATAAAATTGCGAACTTGAAACCAGGTTATGTTATATTTTATATGCTTCAAATAGTTTACTTTTTTCCGGTCTGTTCAACGTTAATTGTTTAAGTAATAATTTTTGAAATATGTAATTTGTGAGAGCTCTTTATGGGAGACCAAAAAAATATATATGACTTATAATATATTTAATTCCTTTGTATACGATTGTTATATGTAAAGTGAGATAACATTTAAAAATAAATGAAATAAGTTAAAAGCATTAATTTAAATCAAGTAGATGCCTTTATTTTGACTTCCTTGTTAAAGAAAATAATTTAATAAAATATATCATATAAACAGAGAATTAGGTCATTTTTATATCATGAGATCTAAGATTTTCGCGAGTACACATTTAAATGAAACTACTATTTTAGTAATATTTTAGGTACTCCCGACATTTCGGTTACTTTTCACATCTCGGCTGTCCGTGATAACGGTTGCTGAAAAGTAACCGAAACGTCAGGAGTATGTAGTTTAAAATCAAAAACAAAAACGCGAATGAAACCAAAATTATTAGTTTCGTTTATTTTTTATAAAAATTTTTTCACGTTTAAGAAATATTATTACTGATTTTTAGGGGGAATTTAAAATTTGACCAAACAAATTGGTTTTCTAAAATAAAAAATCAGTGTATTCTTAACTACTTTTTCTAGATTTTATATTTCAATTGCTTATAACTGTTAAAAAAAATTAATATTCAAATAAAAATATTCTTGAAACTGTTTTCATTCCAAAATCATGTGAAATATTCCTTTATATAATTTAGTAAAAGAAAGGACGCGAGTGGAACGCTAACGACAACTCAAGTCAGTCATCCATGAAGAAAATGTCGGCAACAAAATATCCACTGGAGTTAAGGTTTTTTTTTCTGTTCGATGATCCGTTTTATGGGGTGTTCTTGATTAAAATGTTTTTATATGATTCGTAGAATTCTGATTTAAATACGTTTGGATGTTTAAGTTGTATTTTCTAAAACATCTCTGCTGTATGAAAAGACAACATTCAGTGTATTCGTTAGCCTACCGATGTTCAGATGCAATAATAAGTAGTAACAAACTATTGTAGTAAGATAGTGTTGTAGTTGAAATCTATTATTCTCAGGGGAAACCTGTTTTCTCGAAACAGTTTTATAGTTACAGACTGCAAAATAGTCTGTGTAATATTAAATATTTGTATGAATATTATGATATCAGGACAATATATTTCTTCCAACTATTTTACACGTCTATTAAATTTGGCAAAGCATGCCTAATTCTGTTAGTCTCTGATTTGGTAATATAATAATAATCAATTGTAAATCACGGTTGTCTTTCTTTCTGACGGTTTAATTATTATTTTTTTAGTCCGAAAAAGGTGTCCAGGTTTATCAGTCTATTACAGAATGTCACACTGAAATTATAGCTACAATTTATTGAAAAATTTATTGAAGAAGGATACAACTTTTCAAAGATATATTACTTAAATTATTATAATGTATTATGTATCACAAATAATAATAATTACTGTAGTAGACATTTGTGCTTGTAATTTTAGAAAATTTATTCCAAAAACTTAAATAATGTTTTAGTTATTTAACGTTTAAAAAAATGCAGACATAAACATTACATTAATCGCCATTGAAATCAATTAAGTGTGCACATTTTTAATGTTCTGTTAAGTATTATCACGATATTGACATTTTGACATTGGATGTAATATAAAATACAACGTATATGGACATACATGTATTAGTTTCAATACCTCCAAATTTATACAATCTTTAAGTAATGCCAATAAATAAAGCAGACTAAGTAAACAAATATCTATGTACATGTGTTTAAAAAAATGTGAGTAATCGTAGTGTGAAACCAATAGTAGGTAGTTTTTTTATTAAATTTATATTTTTCTTATAACTTGTATAAGATTTGTTATACAGGGTAAATAATATTATATATGTATGAAGTCCTTAACAATCCCAGAAAAAAGTTAAATAAAGAAAATATAAAGTTATGTCGTTGGCTTTTGCTGTACTAATAAATAAATGTTTGTAAAATTAATGACTTGCTATATTCAACGAAGCGTAAATTTTTATATAAAAAGCTGGTTATGTTTCTCGAAAACAAAATTAATTATTTCAGAACAAGACAGTGCACATTACAAAAGGTATTTGTCAATGTTTTTTTTATGTAAAAAACAAGATTGTAATTTCAAATAATTAATGTATTTTAAAATAAGTTATTTTTGTACTATGCAGAATTTGTTTCGCTACCAATAATTTCATAATCATTTATGTAGATGTTATATTGTTCTCCATAAAATAAAATAAAATAAAATCAGTATGACTCTCTTACAAAATTTTCCTTTATTTACTTTTTAATAAAGTAAAAGGCAACATTACTAATTAATATACATATGTCTAAGTTTACTTTTTAATACTACCAAAGGAAAAATAATCTGAATTATTTTTCTGAAGTTAAGGTTAGTTTAATTTCTTTTTAAATGCAGAAGTGATATTTTTTATTTACAGGAGAAATTCAATATGATGAGGACTCTTTTATTAACAGCTTTAATTATGCATCAAGTAATAGCTCACTCGTTCAATTATGACATAGTACCCACAAACATGAATAATTCAGCAAAAATTCCAACAGAGTTATCAAATTTTATAAATTGTTTGCTTGGCAGACGACCATGCAATGATATCTATAAGGGTTACAGAGGTAAATCGAATATTATATAGTTTTTAATATTATTTCTCTAAGGAGAAAGAAACAAAGGTTTTATGATTCAACTCACTCGTCCGTCCTTTTTTGTTGTTGGAAAATTGCTGACGAACGCTGTGGAAGCAATATCATATTGGACGGCTCGTAAAAAGAGTTTCCCTGCGTCATAAAAAAAAGCGATGTCATTTATTACTGTTCGACATTTGTGTAATTCTTTTTGTATACATATTGTCAACTCAGAGCTTGAAAGCTAATATGTAGTCGCAACCCTCATCTCTGATTATGATGATATCAAACAAAATAAAATAAAATGATCTTCAGATTACTATAATATGAGTGAACAATATTTTGATTAGACTAAAGGCAAAGAATACATTTCTCCTAGTACTTGTAAATTTCTTGTTATAGTGAAATTATATATTTATATTTCATAAACACATATTTGTATTCCAGATAAGCGTGATGGTGAGGAAGAACTTTCTCACGAACGTACTTACGAATACGTATCAGATGAAAATGCTGAATAAAATTCTTGCATTGTTATTAACCGACCTCCGGATGGAAAATTATTGTTATATAAAAAAATATTTAAGTTAAACAAGTTTAGAAACATCTAGAAGAAATAAAATAAATGAAAATATATTTGAAACTTAGACGGAATAACATTTTGTATCAATAGAATATTAAAGAACAAAGCTTATTAAATTCAAGTTAGAAGACTCGATTATCCGGCCCTCAGTTATACGGATTCGATTCAAATGACAATTACTAAATATTCTAAACCAAATTAAACTTATTATTTTAATTCATGATTAAAACTGCAGTTTTTTACATACATGTATATGTAATCTAAGAAAATGTTTAGTTTAATTATTTATTAATAAACATTGATTTTCGGTGATATGCATTTGTTACTTTTTTTAAATAAACATATAATATTATGTACTACATATGCACAAAACCTGCTTTTCTTCATACATTCGATTATCCGAATTTTGGATTATCCGAATGCCTATCAATAACAATTAGTAAGGTTAATTGAGTTTCTACTGTATATAGACAGAAAGTATAGTAAAGTAAAGATCAACAACTCCTTATATTATTATATATAATTTATATATTGCTGCAAATTTAAGTTATGTTTATAGTTAGTATAGCAACAAAGTTTCGATCAAATTGTTTGATCATTTAGAAACATTATGTAATGCTTAAATGATTAACCAATTACTTAATTAAATAGTTTATCCATTTTTAAGGTCACATTGTACAGAGTGTGCGATAATTAGCTTAAATTATATAAAATACTTACTACTTCGAAAAAAAGTTACCACAGATGTTATGAAAATTGGTATCACAACAGTGTTATTGACATGATTGTATAATTAATAGAAACACAATTTAACTATTTACCTATTATATTATTAAAGCTTTAAGATATAATAGTTTAACTAAACAATTCTAGGACCATATACCAAAAAGATATTTAAATTTTATAGAACATAAGCATAATAAACTATAAATAAACTATATGTAGAAAACGGTGATGCCGACTGTACTAATTAAAAATAACAACGAAGTACTAGGATTAAATGAATATTTTTTCATAACATAATTATCGTAAGCCGACAAAAGGATAAGTATAAAAGGATTGATTTCATCGCAAAATTAAATATTCATATTTTTATAAAAATATCGTGTGGGAAGGTGAGACACAGTGAGTTTTTTCTTATATACTATTAAAATATAAATATTTTATTTATATCCTAATAAGATTATACATAAATTTATATGTCCATTATATTTAAATATACACATATGTATATTAAAAATACTTCTACAGGTCCACCATCAACATGAAGATAGTAATTCTTCTATCATTATTGTCACTTGTGGTTGCCAATGACCACTTTTATTACAATTTGATACCCTTGGAAATAACAGCTTTAGCAAAGAACCCTAAGCAGATATTCGAATTCATTGACTGCTTGCTTGATAAGGGTCCTTGCAATGATGTCTTTGAAGGCTATAGAGGTATGTTACATAATATTAGAATACAATAAAGCAAAATATATTAATCTGACGTTTCGGACGCGACTTTCATCTCATCTGTCCGTAATCTCAGTAGCTGTAAAGGAACTGAAAAGTTAAGATTATGTAGATATAAAATAACAAAAAACGCGTTCTATCCGAAAAACTTTGTTACATTTAAATGAACACACGCGAAAATCTAAGATATTATTAAGGTGTATGAATATCATATAGTTTTTAAAAATGTGAAATCTACTATATACGTCTGCCTGTCCGTTATTTTGCCACGACTAAATACTTGACTGGATAGAACATTTGTTATAGAGGTAGATTAGATACCAAACGAATTAAAAGGTCACTTTGTCCTGTATTTGACAGTTCAATGTGAAGCATTTTGTGATAAGACATAGGTAAATATGTATCTTTAAATTACAATAAAAACATTAAACAATTTGTCACTTCAAGGAAATAATTACCATAAAAACAATTGAAATAAATACATTAGTGACATACAAATATCAAAATTTGACTGGCTGATCTAGATTTGACAGACAAATGGCTAATATAATTACTCCTTTTCAGCCGTCGCTTTGGAAGCTGTCCAGCAGGCTTGTAAGAGATGCACCGCTGATCAAAAAAGATTTGGTAACATCTTTTTAGCGATTCTGAGAAAGTTGCTGCCTGATGAATACCACAGTTTTAGATATAAATACGACCCCAAAAACAAACATTTCGATGCTCTGGAAGCAGAATTGAGCAAATATAAATATCTGCCATGTCTATAAACAACTGAATGACATTCTGTTTATTTACTGCTTGATATGAGTTAAACAATAATTTTCATTTGAATGCTTTGGCTTTATACTTCTTCAATTACTTCAATAAAGTTTCTGTCTTTCTTAATTTGATTTTATTTTCAACTTATTTTTTACATAACATTTTATTGCTGTTTCTTTATGAGATTGGTTTAATACATAAAAAAAAACTATCTAGAGGTATTGTTAAAGAATCATTATACCCAATATGCTATGCAAATCCTTAAAATGTTATAGAAATATTTATGTACATATTGCACTTAAACCTTATCTCACATCTGTAAATGCAAGCTGGCAAGTGTTAATATTTATTAATGTTTTAAGGGTAAGTGTAAATTATAAAATTAAAGATGAGTTATAAATATTTAAAAGTATTTATATAAAGAGCTGATAAAAAGCCAAAGATGCAATGATTTTAATACAATAAATATTAACTTAATTACTTCTTCATCAGAGTCTATTGGCACAAGCTACAATCTCAATGCATTTAACCATACTGAGAAAATTATTAGATCGAATTAAATTTTTTCCTACTATCCCTAATAATAAAAAACTTTTTATATGTGAATACATTTGAAACCTATTTAAAAATAAAACATGTGGAAAAGTGTGAAAATGCGATAATATCGCCGTGTGGAGACGGTTTCATAGAGAATGTATAGAAATACGTGGCACGACGATAATATCGCCGCGATTCTCTCGCTCGTGGAGTCAGCGCCTAAGAAATGGGTGTATTTAAACAAAGAACATAACATTTTAATTAGGTGTTTTTGTTACATTTATAAAATATGTTTCAACATTTATAAGACCTGTCTTGACTTAACAAAGAAGTCACTCTTAACATAATTATTACTTTATTAAAAATGTTTTATTAAAAACATTACAACTTTACTAATATACAATAAGATATTTTATTATGAACGCAAGAACATACCGTCCTTGAAGTGTATCACAGTGTGTCACATTAACATGAATTAAAGAAAGTCACGATGAAATTGGATCTATAAAAATAATGAGATTGTTGAATTTTTTTTTAGAAAACAAAACTTTTACATATAAAATTTACAGGTAGATTAATACTTAAAGGGTTTTTGGTCTTGTATATAAAACTCTTACTAGAATTTCGATCCATATATTGAGAAAAACTGATATCACTAATAGTACACTGCTCTGCTTTAGAATATCGAAGTAAAATATTTACGTTGTAAATTGATTTACACAGAACATTATTTTTGATGAACAGAAGACAAATTCAAAGGCACCTGTATCTTAATTTAATAACGTAATAGTTTATAACCTGAAAGTTTATTAGTTAGGTCTTAATAATTTTTTTTTGATAACTTATTTTAAATTCTAGTTCCATTGCTTTCTTCGCCAGATATTATTTAGATTATTAATTTTTCTTATTTATTTATAATTCACACTCATCATTTTGATTATATTAAAAATAAATAAAAAATTCAAAACAATACAAGTTAGTCAACGTTAATTATTTTGTGTTTCTAACAAAATTCTATATTGATTTCTCTAGACTTTGATTTTAAATTATTATTCCTGTAATACATTTTAAAACTATCAAGTTTAAATATCACTACCATACATTACATTTCAACATTAAAGATGGTACCTACTATAAATAGATTTTTTGTTCTGTTAATTGTACAAAGGATTTCAAATAACCTTATCAATCAAAGTCATAAAAACTGTTTGATTTACTGCATATGTTTAAACATTTTAATTGATCGGTAAACGTTCGATTTGCAATTCTAATAGCCATTAACAAGTATACAATTGAATAACTCAATGATAATGTGCTCTAATTTAGTAAACTATAAGCAAACGTTTCTAAAACACAGGTTATGTTCAATTGTGTTATTCAAATAATTAACATAAACGGAATTAATTATCACACTTCATGATACTTTGTTTGAATAATTGTTTTAATATCTTATGCACCCAATACAAATAAAATACTATAAGATTTAAGACTTCAGGACTGTGATTATAATCAAGAATAGTCCCACGAGATGCGGAAATAGTTTTGAGAGAATGTGTTTTGAATCCTAAATAAATTAGAACTATGTCGGCATATAACTCTCTCCTAATATCATTTAAAAATTTACCATGCGTAGCGATTATTTTTCAGCAACCAAGATGAGATGAGGTAGGTGTTTTTCAGTTATTTTTGTTTTTTGTTCATCTACCAACGTTTTCACAATTCACGCAGAGAGCGCTAATTTTATATTGTAGGCTGACAATATTTTTTAAGCATTTGATTATATATTTTTAACATTTGTTAAAAAAATATTAAACATCTTCCCTATTATAATTTTTAAATTTCAATATCTTGAATCTTTGATGTTATCCCAATACTTTTTATGGTTAGTATTTATATTTAGTAGGCCACAATCGTATATTTAGTAAGTCACATCGTTACACCTACAAACAGTCTGATCAAACATAGTAAAAGGAAACTAACAACATTCTGGGAACGTTCAAAATCATATGTTAGGAGTTCCTATCATTTTATTGTGTGCTATATGAATTGTATAGTCTAAGGTAAACATAGACTAAAAAATATGGAATTATAACTTCTACACGCACGTTTATTAAATTGTTATTATTTCACATCTTCTCTCTAATCACTGACATACTTGAAGGACTTTGAGAAGGAAGACAAATACCCTAATTCAGACCCTGAGACTAAAACACGTTAAATAAACGGAATTTCATTAACACTTTTTAAATAATATCAAAAAATAATATAAGAATATTTGCCTTTTAAACCTTCGTTGCATAAATGTTAAGATTTAATTTGCTATAGAATTAGAATCACATAATTCTTTAAGATTTCTTCACAGTCCTCAGGATTCCTTTGAATACTTAAGAATATACACTCCAACTCAATCTTAGTTAATACAGTTGAAAAACCCTGGTTTCATAATACATTTAGACATCTACAGATTGAAATTCAGCATCAAAAGCATGCTCTCACCACCAACAACCGGACCATGCCTCATCAGCATAACAAAAATAATAATCGGAGGCTAGTACCAATGTTCAAAAGTAGCATATCTGACACAAAAAATGCAATGTCTTGACGAATATTTCACATAAAATATTATATAAACCACATAAAAAATCAAAATTTTATATAAGGACAATTGACATATAACCAATTAACTACTACTTAATTGGATTTAAAAAGAGACGTTCGTTGGTGTCACTACAGTATAATCTAAGCCATTACATCCATCATCACATCCGTCATTTTTAAAAAACATAGATCCTCGCTTATAAGACAAATGTATATGTCAAGCTCAATCAAAAAGACAATTCAAATTAAAACCATCCTAATTTCCAGAGAGACGATGACTGGCACTTATCTTACTTTTGTAAACATCATGTATATAAAATTCCATACAGATAAAAATAGTGCTAGACTTCAAAACACAATAACCGGGTTATCATACGAAACTGGTAATGGAATTTTTATTATTATTATTTTTAATAAATTCCAAATAATTATTTACTGAGATATTCCCTTCACTAAATCAATCTTCCAAAAAATTCTTCGCTAACTGTACGAAACACCAAGTCAGTTTTATGGACACTGCTTGAAATTCACTTTAAGAAATGATGCTTTCTAATTTTCTATTTACAAATGCTGTTTTTACTTATAATAATTTACTTAATTTATACGTCACTAATAATAACCAGAATATAATAAGACCAATATTTTATAAATTATTTATTTGTCTGTATATGTTCACATAACCAAAATATTAGAAACATTTAGATGAAAATGAAAATGATATTTCTGCTCCAATAACGTTAAATAATTTTATAACAATTAACTATGATGTTAACATCACAGTTACTGAAGTAGAGTTGACCTTATTGACACGGTTCAAATTTGTATTTATATACTACAGCCTCTAAGTCGTCAAAGTATTCATTATGTGGGTCATATTTATGTCTAAATTCGTGGTAACTCTTTGGTAGTAATCTTTTAAGAGTTTCCAAGAATAAGTAGACAAATATTTTCTGATCGGTTGTACATCTTTTACAAGATTCCCGAACGGATTGAGGAGTATATACTGTAAAAAAAGAAGATCAATTAAAACTAATTGTAACTTAGTATTGACTAGTTTAACTATTGAAAATTAATAATAGTAATTATATAATCTTCCTTGCTATATGTCAACAATCAAGTTTTTAACTACAATTTACTTCTTCATTATACATGTATAAGTCATTTTTCTCTGATACTCACCCCTGTAACCTATGTATGCATCATTGCAACGGCCTCTATCAAGCAAACAGTCCATAAATTTATTCAGTTCCTCGGGTTTTTTGGCTAAAGCTAACATATCAATCGGTAATACATCGTAATAACGTCTGTGTGTACTCACAAAGGCAAATAAACACGCTAGAAATACGACTTTCATGTTCATCAGAACTGCAAAATAAAATTTAACATTACAAATTAGGAATTGATTATTACATATGATTCATAAATAAACAGATTAATTAAGTAACTAACTTAAAGAAATATCGATACAATTGAGTTATAGTTTTATTTTTATTTTTTATTATTACTGAGTAAAAGATGGAAGCTAAACTTATAAAATATTGTCCACAAATTGTCACTAAGAGATCTACGACCTATGCCAAATTAAATATTTCTTATAAAATAGTTATTTATTAAAAAATATCCAAATATAATTATCTTTATTTTATTTGTTACATTACTAGCGACGAGATGACACCTTGTTATTTTTTATATAGTTATATAAGTGTTTTTATGAGTCTACTTTGTATAAACAACGTATCTCACCAGAAAAAATATACGAACACTTATAGGAAAAATTTGTAAATCATATATTAAATGCAAATAACCGTGTTATATAGGCTCGTGGGTGGGGTTTGATTAATTACTTAAAAAACATTGAATTCCATCAATAATTATTTTGTTATCGATAGAAATTGATGCTTATAACGAATTTGCATCCTCATTATTATTGGTGTTATTATAAATCTATCAAGTCTAGCTCGTTAGCGTATATATGTGAACATCGGTATTATAGAAATTGCATAAAAGAAAATTTTTAAGTCACAAAAATAATTTTCTATTTTTAGTTATGTTATATGCATAACAAGAAATAAATGAGTAAGTATAGCCAACTATTTATAATGTCAACTAAACTGGTATCAGTCAAGAGCTAGTAGGTAACAATTTTGTCATTCAATCGACGTCGTGATTTAAGATTGCGTCAGGTAAGCTCAAACATGCTGATTTTCGCTACGTGAGTAGAAGGATTGATAGAAAACACATCAATATACAATGATAATCTCTTAATCACACAAGTCAATCTCTTAACAAAATTCTTTTCTCATTCGTTTTTACCATAGTTATAAATTATTTTTATTTAATTATGATACTATGATTGTAATGCAACTCATTTTCCTATTCCCCTATGATTTGTTGTAAGTTATTGAAGATAGGATAACTCTAATTATTATTGATGCATGGATGCACTAAAATCGATATTTATCAATTAATTCGTTTATTTCTTAAGTTAAATATAAATTTTACGTACCTATGTATAAGTATTAAATAGTTGGGTTGAAGATTGAATAAATTGAATTGTAACATCAAAATGGAATAAAGTATTAAAAATTTCAACTAAAATAAAAGATACTTCCAAATAGCACTTTTTTTTCTTAAACTCGGTAGCAAATTAATTTCTTTTGAGGTCTATTGACCGAGCAACATAATAAGTAAATCTTCTATATATATAAAAATGGATTGCTGTTCCTTAGTCTCGCTAAAACTCGAGAATGGCTGAACCGATTTGGCTAATTTTAGTCTTGGAATACTCCTGGAAGTCCAGGGAAGGTTTAAAAGGTGAGAAAAATTGATTAATTACTAGGAAAACCATAAAAACAGCCCTTTTCTATTTCCCATACAAAAGTTTTTTTGACATTAGATTTGACAACTAACAAATATGTCAATTCTGTTTGATTGAAACAGGAAAAACCTGATTATTTATGGCCTGTAAGACGGAATAGAGTTCGACTGGTCAGCTACACCTACATATATTACTCTTGACCAAACTAACGCGGACGAAGTCGCGGGCAAAAACTAGTAAAAAATATATATTAAACTTGTTAATTGTTAATACGTATAAGTTATTTCAATGCTTAATATTTTATGTTATAGCACAATACTACAAAATATTATAAATAATGACTTATAAAACGAATAACATTTATCAAAAAATCAATCAAGGATCTGTATAATAATGTACATTCTAAAAGTATCTTGGCAAAAATTTTAAATGATTTTAGTGAAGTTACATATTAATAAAGGAAGAACCTCTGTAGGTGTAGAGCCTAGCTGTAGTCAAGTTTCTGCAGCTCTAACATGGGCTGACTCAACCGGGGAAGTATCAACCTCGTGCAGAAGATCTTCATGCAGTAGCCTTTAATGGCTACGTTTCAACCGATGAGTGAGAGAGCCTTTCCCTTTTCCCATCCTTTCATTCCCCTTCCCTTTTTCCTCCCTTTCCTACTTTTCCCTATCCCTTCTTCCCTAATCAAGGGTGGTGACACATCCACAACATATCTAATGTTGCGGATGTCTATAGGCGACGGTACTATTTCCATCAGGTAGGTCGTCTGCTCGATTGTCCACTTTAGCATAAAAAAGAACCTTGAAGAGCTAGTTATTTTTCCACGCCAATTCAATTAGTATTATATTCTATAAAATGATGTTACTCTGACTTCAAAAATCTGATTTGTTAAAAAATATGACCTAGAAAATTATTGCTCCTGCAAGTTTCGCAATAAATAATTTTAGTATTAATTAAAACAGTCACAGTCGTTAATGACTGTTTTTGCATCCGCATACAACATACAATTAATTTTTGACCTCTTGAAAAAAATGATTGTAAATTTAAGTGTGCATCACTTATAACATTAGAGTTTTATGAGTGTTTTAGTTTATTTTTCATTACAAATAATAAGAAGTAATACTTTTGAAAGGCTAGGGCCTTTAAGTGAATATTGCCTTTTAAAATATGTCTATCCTTTTTAATTTGAATTCTTATATAATTGGATACTTATATTTATTTTATTTCAAAAATAGAAAATGTGGATAAATTTCAACAAAGTTCTTGAATGTAAGTATACATAAATTATTAAATTGTTGCTTACACACTGACATGCTTTATAAATAGATAAAATATCTATTGCAAAAACAATTGTAAATTGTCTTGCTCTTTGAAACTTAAAGGAGAATATCGGGAGAAATACTTTTTAATGGACGCGCAAAAAAGATTTTGATATAAAATAATGTTAAATGATACAAATAAAGTTCACGGAAATAGGCATCATAAATTTATAAAAGTTATGAACTCTCTAGATCTTTGTCATTAGTTTCAGAACGGATTCAAAGTATCACTGTATTAAAAGTTTTTTTTAAGATAAATAAAGCTATTTTTAAATAATAATTTAAAGGTTATTAGGTAACGTGTATTGTATAAGTGTTTCTACATGCGGACATGCTACATTCTATATTTCTATATAGCTAAAGATTTAAAGATTCATAAAAATTCCATCCTAAAGAGTACTCCAATCATACAAAATATTTAAAAATACAGTTTCTTGTCATTATAACATTAACGTCTTGAGATAAGAATTTTAAAAACACAGACAGATAACAGTTTTATAAATACGTCTAGAATATCGTACCTACTATGATGTAATTCTTAATATTTTTTCTATCGTTTATGATTTTGTTTATAAGTTTCTGTAATATTTGATAACATTGAATCTACTCACTCTCTACAAAATAAAATAAATATGTACACCTATCTAAATAAAAAATGTGGTATCTCGTTTCGTTGATAAAAATATCGCTTTATTCTTATCACGTCCATAAAACTTTAAGTTACTTAGAATCGCAAAAAGATACATTTGGTGATTTAAATTTTCTTTATTAAAGAAACAACCTTGCCAATGTACGGGAACACGTATAAAAGGACCGATCATATTATATAAAAATCACAGGCATTTTTAAATCCCGTAAGAACGGTCTTCTCAGATTATATAAGGTAATTACTTCTCACCATAATTCAACATTATATTTTTGTAACTATTTATTTCCTCTACTATAGATAAGTATATAATATTTTATTTTTTTTTGCAAGTTTTTTAGAAGAAAAGTTTCTTATATACAAATACACCTTAATATTATGTCAATAAAGATATCATATATCGAGATTATTCGATTGAAATTAAATTGGGCTGCACCTAAACTTTTCGTGAACTTTTGCCCTTCAAAACACGTTTTTAAGTTTCAAGTATATTTTAATTATCTGTAACCAATTGTATTAAGATCCTTTTTTAAAGTGATGTAAACGCAATGTTCATATTTAAAGAATACTTATATAGTTAAAACAACATTTTAAAATTAATAATTAATTTCTTCTTTAACATCATTTATAATCTAGATTAGACGAAAACTTTTTTTTTTACTCAAAACAATCTCAAACTATCCTAAAATATTGCTAACACTAGTTTCAACATTGAGATACAAAACATACAAGGAATATTTTCTCGTTTCGTTACTTGGATATAAAATGAGCAAAAAAGATATAAAATGTAATTAAAATATATATATACATATTTTTATGTAATAAGTAGTTACATACATATGCTACTTCGAGGAACCATTAAAGAAATTTATATTATGTTGAGATCATCTCAGGAAAACAATTATTCAATTAACTCGTGCCCAAACTATGAAGTGATGAGCTCAACTGTGACGTGCATCAAGTATAAATTTTTTGTCAGATCTAAAATGATTAACATTAAATACTTTATAACTAAAACCAATGAATAAAATATACGGTCCGATAAAAATTGCTCTCACAATAAATAAATGTAAATATAAACATCATTAACGATTTATTTAGTCTGTCCTCTTATAAATTAAACATTGATAAAGAGCTCTAAAATAAACGCCAAAGACGTGGTTACCAATGCATGCAGTCGCATTTTTTGCTCCAAGCAACAAACAAGGTGCTCTAAAATATTCCATTTAAATATCTATATCTGATTTTGGTAACATCATCTATGTTATTCAATTGTATTATGTCTTATTTTTTTTAAATATTTGTTTATATATTTTTGCAGATATAATCATGAAGGTCATAATCGTGTTGTCTGCTTTATTGGTTCTTTCTTCTGCTGAAACATACAGCGCAGAGAACGACGATTTCGATGTTGAGAAGTTGGTGTCAGATCCCGCTTCTCTTGGAGCTTTCCTGGACTGCTTTAACGACAAGGGTGCTTGTGACGAACTATCTGGTGATTTCAAAAGTAAGAAAAACATTTATTTATTCCACTAATCTTTTCCCCTACAACCTTATCCGGCAATATGTTTGAAATAGAAAATTAAAAATATATTAATGCTAAGTGCTATATAAATAAGTAGTATTCTAATAAAACAGAATCAACTTATGCATTAGACTGTTATGTAAAAATAAAATTTCACTTCAAAAATAATTAAAAATTTCAAAAACATATTATTAAATTTGACTTCAAGAAACTCCTTTGCCTTAAAATAAGTTTTTGACCACTATTTAAGGTAAAACAGGTTCTTAACTAAATGTAATTGACATTTTTGACATTTCGCGGTAAAAAAAAAAGTTTCACTATACCAATTATTGCCATATACTTACATATTAAATTAAATTTTCTTGACCATTACTTCCTTTTGCAAAACACAAACGATTTGGTTCAGATAAAAAAAATACCTCAGACGTAATATATTACAGCATAAACATTTTGTAATTCACTAGATTTCAATGGCCGCTTAATCATAAAAACAAATTTTAATCCGGGTCACTTTATTGCCAAGCACTGATATAAAACCTGAATTCTGTTACTAAATATATTATAATATATTGCGATATTTTTATTAAAATAATTTTGAGACTAATGACATGAAAAAGTTATTATGAATGTAATACATAATGATCTGAATAGATTAAGATTATAAAGATTCACTATTCTATACAGATATTTAATATCATATTTTTCTTTTTTTTCTATAATTATTTTACGGTTAAGCTCTCAAAACTTTACTTATCATTTTGTACATTTATTATAGAGGACCTACGGGAAGCTGTAGAAGAAGCATGCAAAAAGTGCACCGATGCCCAGAAGCACATTTTCAAACGATTTTTAGAAGTAGTTAAAGTCCAAAAGGTAGACGACTACAAAATTTTCCAACAAATATACGACCCCGAGAACAAATACCTTTCCGCTTTGGAAGCCGCTATTGCGAAATATTAAAATGATGGCATGAATTGTATGAACTAAAGATAATCTGAAACGGCACAATAAAAGTAATAATCATTTAATAAACTGTTTTATTAATTCATTTGAAATCTAAACCTATAAGCAACCAAATATTAAGCTTACGAAGACATTATATTGACTTAAACCAGTCATCTAGATTAAATGTAAACAACCTTCTAACTTTATACCGCATTGAAATATTATTTATTCATTATAAGTACCCTCATCCATGAAAGACGGCATCTTAAGCAAATTACGTCTGCACGATGTTTTTCAAATCCTCCAGATTAGTTTATTTTAGTTTGAAGGTCAACGGTCGGTATGTTTTTTAAAGTTTTGTTATTTACATTTTAATTCATTCTTCCTTGTGGCATACAACATATTAGGCATATGAAGGCATGCGGTAACGCGGAACATTGCATTAATAAGACCTCTATTCTTAAAATGAAGATTGCTTATTTTATCTGCTTCATTGTCTTTGGAGTTTTTGCTGACGATAAGTATTACGATAGTCGTTACGACTATTACGACATAGACTACTTTGTGCAAAATCCCCGCCTGTTAAAAAAGTATATAGATTGTTTTTTGGATAAAGGGCCGTGCACACCGATTGGACGAGTTTTTAAGCGTAAGTTTATATAAAAGCATATTATTTTGTAACCATATTAATCTTATTATGATGTTTGTAAGAATTTTCTCACAAGAAAAAACACATACCCTATTTTATTTATAGGATATTCTTCTATAAATAATTTTATATGTAGCTTAATTTTTATTTTATTTAAATTACTTTATTTATTTTATGAACAGCTTAAAATTATTTATTAATTTTTTTTTTATTTATCTCAAGAAAATTAGGGTCATTAGACACATTAAAGATATTAAAAAATTATCATAGTTATTTGTTTTTATTGTTTTTGCGATAAACACTATCAATGGCAAGAGAAAGAAATATAATCATAATTCGTTGAAATAAATAACAAATACATAAAAAATAAACGCTTTTCATTGATCATTACGTAATGTTCTTTTTTTCTCTCTTCTAACTCTCTAAAAGCAAGGTACTGACGGTGACAATTACTTAATTGCTATTTTTTGCTATTGATAGTGTTGAAAAGAAAAGCGGATTGAAGACTCTAAAGATTTAACCTTATAAAATATAAGAAAACCAATTATAATTATTCCTTTATTCTACTACATATGGTTTATTGAATTCTTAGATAACGTTTATTTCTGAAGCAAAGAAAACCCAGTCAACTTGCACCAATGTAAAAGATCAAAGCCTTAACATGTACTCTCTATGATGTTTCAGTTATTTTACCAGAAATAGTGATAACTGCGTGTAATAAATGCTCACCATCCCAAAAGAGATTTGCTCACAGGACATTTGAAGCTTTCCGAAATAAATTACCACAGAACTACGCTGAGCTGAGGAGAAAACTTGATCCTCAAAATAAACATTTCAACACATTCTTAAAGTCCATAGCAACAAATAGCTAAACTACGTAAGTATTGGGAAAATTAGCACCTTCATATTGTTTGTTTATCAGCATCGTATCTATTATTTCCAAAACACCTTCTGAATTGTAATCCTTATACTAAATGACATAATTATAAACATCAAAAACATATATGTAATCCAAGATGTATATATTTTTAGAACAACCGATTAGTTGAAAATTTTGTAGTATCAAATGTTTTATAGTACTCTATTGACTTCTTTTATTATAAAATGCAGCGAAAATAGTGTAGCACACTGACTGGTTAAATGGTTTTTGTGGTCAATATTGTTCATAAATAAAAAAAAAATAATAATTAAATGTATATTACGTAATAAAAAGTTAAATAGCATAGTTACATATAAAATATTAAACTTGCAACAATAAATAAAGTTAAAATTATCCTTAGGAATCAAGCATTTTTTTAGCCTTAAAACGTTATTTTAATGATTGATATAAATGTTAAAGATATAATATTATAATAATGTTACTGCTTCAAATGAAAAGATATGTAAAATTTAAATAATTATAATCCAAGTACAAAAGTTCAAATTCCATTTTGAGATACGTAGTAGGTAATGTAATTGACATTGAATTTTTATACGAAGCTACATATATAGTAACATATGTACATCTATTAAATTGAGAACTAGATGGATGGGACGGAAAGTCATATAAATTAAATACGCAAGACGTTATATATTAAATTATAACAGAAAATTTGCATTTTATCCACTGCAGGTTATGGCGTTTAATTTTAAACATAAATATATAAATTTTCTTCTCATTTATGACTTTAAAATTATTTGTATTATAGGTTATTTATAAATAGCTGCCTTTTATTACTTCATCTCTAAAACCAATATTTTAAAACTTCATAAATAGACTGATTCTTTTTGAAGTGAGACTTCAACGCGTTTCCGTCTCAAAAGGTAGCAATAGATATCAAAACTGAATTGATTCTGCGAATACAAATATATAGAAATTTTAATTATGAATAATTAAAGTCAATAATTAAATAAGTAATGAAATAAATATATTTTGTTTAAGATTAACTTCACATTAGTGATGATCAAAGCCAAACTGAGCAATAGCACGTAAGGCTAGCGGGAAGTAGGAAAGAGTCATACAACACTAGCATCTTTATCTTCAATAAAGATATGTTAATTTGAATTTTATCGACGTCTTATTATTCGATAAACATAGTTTTTCCTTAAAAATAGAAACTACATCAAATCAAATTCAGGTACCTGTTAGTTACACACTAACCATACAAAACAAAACATTTATAATATTAAGTAACAAAAAACAAATGAAAAGAACAAAAATATAGTTTGTGACTTTTTTTGCATCGTGAATGACTTAATAACCGTCACTAATAGCATTTAAATGTTTTGGTATTAAAGAGTAACAAACAAATATACTCTTAATTTAATGACTTAAATGGTAATATAATATAAAGAACTCTACCAGCTTCTATGCGAAATAAACTTCGAAGACACCACTTATATACCTTTTTTCCATGAATATGCCTTCCTGCTTCCTATAATAAATTATTTAAATAAATGCTCAAGTTGTTTTAGAATAGAACAAACGAACAGTTAACAATGTCGGGAAGTTAAGAATAATTCATTATGAAAAATATGTGTGAAAGTATGAAATAATTTGCAAACCAAGCCTTCAAAATCCTTAACTACCTTGGCTTCTAACCTAAAGCTGTCTTGGCATTTCCATTTGTGGAGATACTAGTATGATAATGTTTATAAGCTAGGTCGATTGGGTTACAATTTAAATAGGTTAGTGCTATTCAATATAATTTTCTTTTATAAGTGAAACATAAAATATTTTTTTGAAATAATTCCGTTGCTAGCGTTTAAATCCCTAAAGTGGCAACTGTCCCATAATACATAACACTTCGTAGTAAAACCTTTGCTTACTTTTATTACTTAAGTAAGTTTGAATTTAATTAAAAACCATTAACAATTTTTATGACTCACTCGTGATATTGGGGAGTTTTGATTGCTCAATAGGTTTCCTGGTAACGTTCAGCAACAAATCATATACGATGGATTTCAACAACAAACAGGGACCTATTTTGGTCCCCGTTGCAATGCTATAAAGATTCTTATTAACATTTGCCAAAAGGTTTAAAATTGTATATGTCCGATACTTAACATGGTCTTCGTGTCAGCAAAGGTGGTGGTTTAATGTTCGTCAATATAAAAGCACTGTCGCTTTCTGCGGCAGCTAGTTCTTTGGGTCGTATTGAGAGTAAAAGGTGGGTTAACGAACTGCAATTTAATGCAGTATTAACGGCAGGCAGATTGTGACAGTCTTATATAACTTTGAGTTAATGCTCTCGAAACTTTGTGTAATACTTACGAATTCAAACTATAACTTGTTTGTTTAACTCTTCTTATCCGGTTTATACCTGTATTTTTAATATCTGTTGAAGAAATAGTGTATTTGAAGAGTGCATGATGTTTTTCATTTATTTCAAAGTATTTATAAGCTAATCTAAAGATTATTAACTAGTATTTAAATGTATTTATTCGCATTGGTCCCTGGTTGATATGTGATGAGAGTCCACGGTTATGAATATTCTAAGCACGCCTGGGATGACCATGGAGTCATTCGTATTGTTACTAAACGGATTTTAATTAATATTCGGGACACGCCAGAAGATTTGAATCGTTTTTTAATCATATAAAACTATTGTGCTTTATACGTTCTTGTGATTACTCACAACGTTTATTTTATGAAAAAATTACCTCTTTCAGAATAATTAAAATGAAGACCTTTGTTGTATTGGCTTGCCTGGTAGCGTCAATTTTGGCTGCCGAAAAATATAATTCAAAATATGATAACTTTGACGTCGAGACACTGGTGTCCAACGACAGATTACTTAAATCATACATCAACTGCTTCTTGGAAAAAGGAAAATGTACAGCAGAAGGCTCTGATTTTAAAAGTAAGTGGTACTTTTAATACATACCTTTTTAGATTAGATTTAGAGCTGGTATAATTGAAAAAAGAGACAGGATATAGGAAAACATAATTTGGTCCTGACTTTTTTCTATGGTTTGGTATTAAAAACCATAGAAAACCAGGGAGTTATTTTACAAAATCCCGAAATATTTTTTTAAATTATGTATACGTAAATATAAAAGTGCCAAACTATCTCAAATTTAAACTGTGGAAACTGTCTAAAATTTATGAATTATTTCAATTATTCAGGAATGAAGAAAGCCTTTATTCTAAAATCTCTATTTTAACTTTTTTCTTGGAAATCTTTACTGCAAGAGAGAGCCCCTTATTTTTTAATTTATTTTACATAACATAATATCAACATAACAAAGTGGAATGAATATCGCATAATCAACTACCGCAAACAATCAAAACTACATTTCGTAAGCGTTCCTAATAAATGTTCACCGAGGGGACAAAGAATGCGTTATGTTTACTAAGTAAAATATATTTATTCTGCATGACGGACTTGAGGATAAATGGCGACATTACTTTCAAAGGTTGAGGTCAAGGTTTCATCCAGTACTTATTTACAGAAATTTATGAATATAACTAGAAATAATGGCACTTAAAAGTTAATTACAGTCTTAATTATTTGTCATTAAGCTATAAACAATTAATAGTTGTTTTTCCATTTTTCACGTAACTTTTCACTCACATCTAACTATTCTTTTAGAGGCCTTACCTGAAGCTGTGGAAACTATTTGCGGTAAATGCACAGATAAACAAAAGGTCAACATAAGGAAAGTTATTAAAGCCATTCAACAAAAGCATCCTACACAATGGGAAGAACTCGTAAAGAAGAATGATCCAACCGGAAAACATCGTGCAAACTTCGAAAAATTCATACAAGAGAGCTAAACAAAATAATCATAATAATTTATAGTTTTTAATAGGTTTAAGGTTTAAAGAGATTGTTGCCAACATAAAAAGGTATAAGATATGACAAAGTTTCTGTGATATCTGTGGAATATCATCTTCGGATTAATTTTAATGCGGATTTAAAAGTGTTATTTATTTTTTATATTGGTGTTGACTGATTAAATAAAAATACATTTTATACTATACGACTATTTTATCATCTCGCCACATTATCAAGAAAGAATCCAAGTATAGGGGAGGATTTTATTAAAACTAGTGATATTTTCTTTAAAAATACAAATTAACAGTGGGTTAAGATTTATAGCTTCGTACAAAATATTCCGTAGAATTGACCCCAAGTCGCTAGTAAGCGGTTATTAGGCAAGCCTAGTTAAAGTAAGGCGGTTGCATGTGTATTTGAGTTTCGCTTGCGCAGTAGTGACTGCGTCTGACGTAACTCATAAATTGTGTAACGCTATCACTACTGAGCAATTCGTTCAAATCATAACAGTTTGATTTTTATTTAAAATATTATGTTACATATCATGTTATATCAATATCGTTATATAATTCTTCTTATAAGTATGAAAAGAAACAAAATATTTATATGTTAAATTTTAATCCATTAAACGTTTATACATATGATGTTGAAATTTACCTTAAAATGTCTTAAATATAAAATACATTGATACTTCATGAACAAACCACAGAATTTTTAAATATGTCAAGCAAATACATATTAAGATAAAAACCAGTTACAAATTAATCAAAATATATTAGTTTTCAAATCATTTAAAGGGTATTTTTTATTATTATTTACTTTGCTTTAAAAAAGCCAAGAATGCCGGCTCGTGTTCCCCTGAAGGATCAAACTTTGTTCGAAATTCTTGAGCCAATTCTGGTTTCTTTTCAAAAATCGCTTTTACAAATTTCCTCACCTTTACCTTCTGTGTATCAGAGCATTTTTCGCAGGCTGTCTTTATAACTTCCGGTAATTTTTCTGCGAACATATGTAAAGTTTTCATAGCTGTTTATAAACATAGTGTTCGAGGAAGAAGTCTTTAAAATGTTGTATAATTACAAGTTTTATGTATATAACCCGTAATAAAGTTAAACAAAAATAACATTGAAAAAACACAGTTTAAGTGCAAGGTTAGTTTCTGTCATTAAACCAGAACATTTTCGTTCAGGTTATAAGTCAATTGTTATTTTTATTTCAGAACATTTCATTTTGCCTAATATAATTTAATTCATATTAAAATTAAAAATGATACCTCTGAATTCCTTCGAGTACTCAGTAGTACAAGGTGCTTTATCAAGGAAACAATCAAGGTAGGAAGTGAATTGTCCATCATCAGCTAGAATAGCATCGACATCAACTGAGTCGTATTTCTCATCATAGCTCAGTACACAGGTCACGGTCAAAATCATTAATAATATTAATGATCGCATTTTGAACTGGAAGGAAAAGTATAATATTTTTACTTAGTATTATGAGATATTAACAAGATATATTCACCCATTGTACCCCATGTATTTCAATTGTTATAATTTTTACACTGACTTAGTCTACTTACGGTTTCTATCCTACACGTACTTTTTTTAGTCTAGATTGAATTTTGCTAGAATATCTTTACTTCCTCTAAAAATAAATTACTTCCTACGGTTTCTTTCTAACACAACCTATAGTTCTATATATATACATATATACATATATGAAAGTTATATTAGAACTTGCTAGCAATCATAATATGTTTAACACTATTTGTAAGTTGCTGAGGCTATTTGTACAAAACAAACAAGAAATATTTCCTATGATTATTGATTGTAATATCTATATCATTTTCAATATAATACATATAAGCTATGATTTTTCTACACAATTATCTCTAAAAATATTACCTTAACACAAACTTCACTCAATAAGCACTCGTCTGAAACCTATACAATAATCAAAAACTCACAACATTTATACAGGGAACGACGGAAATAAATATTATTTTAAAATTACATAATGGCAGTCAAATTACAATGATTAGTTTCTAACAATAGAAAAGCAATATACATTTAAACCCCTTATGATGGTATTATTGATATATGAATTAAATCATTAAAAAAAAAGATCATTCACCTCGATTATTTTTACTGTCATTATTCACAATAACGTAACATTTATTTAGTATTAATATCAATTCTATGACAACGTAGTGAATTAAAGTAAAATTATATTTTTTGATACATATTTATAATTATTTATCAAGTTCTCTGTTCACGATTTTAATAATAATAAAAAGTACATTTACTTACCTTAAAATACTTTTATGAATTGCTAGGGTCGTTATATTTTAATTGTAGGAAAATGTTTTTTTACATCGAAGTTTGTATTTACCTTTTATTACGTAGCAGAAGGATAGTTAAAGATTCTTTCCTTCAAATAAACCTCGACACCACATATCTTAAGTGAACTCTTAAAATTATTATATAAAATAATATCCTTTATTACAGATAAAATCTCTATTCATTAATAAACAAAGTGCAAAATGGGAGATTTGAAAATATACTAGAAAAATCCGTCAATCAAAGTGATAGATTACCTACTAAAAACACTCTAAAGCCACAGTCCATGTGATTCATATCATCATTTATTCGTAATAATTTTTATTCTTAATCAATACTAGCATTAAAAAAAAAGAAAGATAAGATTATGTTATTATTATTGGGCATCCACGACACAAGCTTGCTTAGTGTGGATGCCCCTGGAAATCGCTCGAAAGGTTTAAATATTTATATTTAAGTCTATATGTTATATATAAATTATAATGTTTTACTATCAAATAAATAAATAAATGTATCATTGGTTTCTAAAATAAAATCTAGTATGTAATGATTTTAGTTCGACAATGTATCATTAACAAAAACGTGTTCTGTTTCATTTTCCTTTGAAAAAAATTAATCACTATCATTAACCATGTATACATAGGTAATAAAACTAATGTTTTTACGGTTTGAGATATCTTTATAAATATTTCTCACAAGAATAAAATTCACTTAGGAGAAAATATAAGGTACATTAAAATTTGTTTATATAATTGGCTAGCGTTAACAAAAACAAATTGAAAAAAAAATTACCTCATTTTCCGAAAAAAGAAACCTGTTGCATTAAAGCTCCATTTTGTTATTTCTTACTTTCCAAAACCTTTACAACGCCTTTATTTTATTTTCTGAACTCTCGTTTTTTTCTTTTATTACATGTACCTTCATACTTTATCAAATATAATACTTCTTAAAAAGCGAATATATAGGCAAAAAAATCGGAGAAGAAAGTGTGTAAGAGTATCTTTTAAAAGAAATGAAGTCTTCAATATTTTCTTCTAAACTTACCTTTCTTTGAAAAAAAAAATATTTGCAATTGTATATTTATTATGTAGCAAATTATTTTCACACTTGAGACTTGACGATATCAAATTATTAAAATGTAACAAGTTGTTAAAATAATATTCGATACTATTTTTCTCGTTCTTTTTTTACTTACTAGGCTACCTATTTCATGAAAATAAATTGAGAGTCACATCCTTTTTAGAGTTTTTTTTTATGTTAAAGGCGGCAAACGAGCAGACGGCCTACTTGAAGGAAGGTGGTTACCGCCGCCCATGGACATCCGCAACATCTTTGTTGCGGATGCTTTTGCCAATCTTGTTTTTTAGGGAGAGGGAGGGGTGGGAATAACGAAATTTTAGGAAAGGGTAGAAATAGAGAAAGGGCAACCGGCTCTCTCACTCATCGTATGAAACGCAGCATTAAAGGCTACTTTACGCTGATCTTCTGTGAGAGGGTGGTACTTCCCCGGTCGAGCCAGCCCATTTTCGAGCTGTAGTAACTGACCACAGCTAGGCTCTACCACCATAGAGTACTTAAAATATCGCCTTTTTTACAGTAACTTAAGTTTTCAGGTTTTTTGTAAGTAAGGCTAATATTAAAAATGCTTATATTTATTCATAAATATATACCACAATACCAAATGAGTATTTTTTTGTGCAATCGTAAAATAATTTCTTTATTATCTCTTAAAGCCGCATGTGAAGTCAAGTGTTAAGTTAAGTTAAGGACAGTATTTATACTAGAAGTTTCTCAACGCTTAATTATGTCTCATTAATCTTACAAGACAATCATCGTTGATAAGGTTTTTCTTATATTTGAAATAACGAGTTAATCATACATATATAATAAGACCTGCCGCTTTGTAGCTACTATTGTTACTCTGATGTCTTTCATGGTGAGTGTTTAATTATTTATAGTAAAAAATCTTATTAGAAAACCAAAGATTTTTCTCTTTACTTGTTTAATAATAAAGTCTCATTTAATTTATAACAATATACAGAGTTCATTATTGTTGACTTCTTATTATTTCAATTTCAACTAATAGGAATATTAGGATGATATGACATTAAATTTTTAACGTAGTTCTAAGCAGTAATAGTAATTTAATAAAATTTATATGTATATTTAAAAACTTAGTTATATGAAATGTATTATACATTTTGTATACATTCATAAAATTCATAATGTATCTCTTTACTAATCTTTATAGTAACAATTAATATTAATTTTAATAATGAACCTTTTCTTGAATTGGTTTAGTTTATTTTTAGTACCGGTTTTATTTACGTCGTCATTTTAGAGTACACCATTTCAATATTTTTATTAATAGAACCTGAGCATCTGCACTATATAGTATAATTTATAAATGTTAACATTCAAACTATCGGTGTTAAGGTGTATAAAAATTTATCGTAATCTATCTATTGACTATTTTCATACATGATTAGGTACTTTTAGCACTTTTTTCCAGTTTCGTGGTTTGTTGTAGTGTGATTTGCAATGAGAGGCTACATCGTATTCCTGGCTGTAATAGCTGCAGTTACCGCCTCGCAGTTAACTTTCGAAAACCTCGACGTAGAAGAGGTGCTAAAGAATGAACAGAAAAAACAGGCAGTCTTCGCTTGTTTATTGGACCAGGCACCATGTGGGGACATGCAAAGCTTAAAAGGTAATGCTATGTCTTAATGAATAATGCTAGGTCACTTATAATAGTGGAATATAGCACGCCCTGACTTTAATTAATATTTACATAAATTTATGCAACTTGATTTGTACGAAGTAGTACGATTTGTCAAAGAAAATCTATGTTAAGAGCAGTGAGTAAACGTGCTGGATTACTTCTATCGATCCTTTAATGTTTTTAATATTATACTTGTATATTATAAGACGACAAAATACTAGGACTAAATAGATTTCTATACCTTGATAAAACAATTTTACTTAAATTAGATACCGTGTAATAAACAGCCAATAAATAATTCGAATTGTATTTTAGATAATCATTTTATTAAAAAATATTCAATATTATAGAAAAAGTATAGTAAATTTACTTTTTGTATTAAATGTAAAGGAATACGAAATAAACATTTAACGAAGTAAAATCCTTTCGTCGCCTGATAATAAAATATAGACATTTTGAATGTACATATGTTTGCTACTTCCATATTTATTAATTTCAGTATAAATCTTATGTCAAAGTTAAATCTGTAATTCCGCTAGTAATTCGAAAAAAACTATTCAGTGGAAAGAAAAGTAAACATAAAAGGATTCTTCTTCTTTATAGATTATTTTAAAAAGTATGTACTTACATAATCGTGAAAACTATCGTTTATATCATGAAGAAAATAAACATGTAAAATTTTCCAAAAATTAAGTCGTAACATTTTATTATTTTATTCAACAATAAATATTATCTTTAAATATATAAGTAATATATTGATATTTTGGTTTACATCGGTTAGCAATTTCTGATTAGGATTTATTTTGTCAATGAAATTATACATATTAAGAAGTTCCATACTATTTGCTTTTTTGTATTCTTAGAACTCAAACTCAAACCCAAACTCAAAACCATTATTTTTTATCGATATTATAAAAAGAAATCATTTTTATTGAATCATTAACTGTAATTACATAAACTATGGAGTATGCATTATTAAATACGAATGATTTCATATTGTTGATTATAATTTTTTATAGATTGTTTATGTAATTAATCTGTCATACTTATTGCTTTTTTAACATTTATTTATAATGGGAAGCATTATTGCTTATATAATTATGATGGCTTTTCTAATAATATTTTTTTTCAGACGACATTTCTGATCTCATCAAGACCAAATGCAGTCGGTGTAATCAGAAGTTAAAAGAAAAATATGACAACACTAGTCAGTTGCTTTTAGAAAAATATCCGGATACATTCAACGCTTTGATGTTCAAGTATTCAGCAAAGAACTGAGAAGATACACGTTGTCAATATGTATATTTAAAAAAATAAAGTGTCAAAATTAATAATATGAATTAAACTAAAAGTTTCCTTCTCATTTTAACTTATATCAACTTAACTTAAAAAAACTTATTACCATATTTATTACGTTTAATTAAAATCTATTCTAAAATTTATACCGAAAAGAACAACAAACACCGTAACATTTATCGAACAATCCAAAATATTGAATGAAAGGAATTATCCAATTTAATTTCTTAGAATGAAATTTGAATTAGGTACCTAAAAGATAAAAAGTGATAGAATACAAATGTTTTCTAAATAAATCTCATCATAAAAAAGAGTTTATATTTGATATTTTTATTAATAAACATTGTCAGAGTTATACTATCAAATTAATTTTTTAACATTTATATGTATAAACTAGAAGCGATATCTAAGACTTTCGGAAGAACATCTAAATAAAGCTATGTTTATTTGAAGAAGTCACTTCGAATATATAGTCCATTTTCTCGAAATTTTAATCGAAAGGTGAAATGAAGTACTTACGAAAATTAAATCCATTGACCATAGTTCCATTTAGAGAATTTATCGATGAATCAAAACAATCTCTCATAAACTAGTTAACGTCCCAAAAAACGAAACCAGGTGAAAGTAAAAAGCAATTAAAGAAACCGAAGTATTTAAAATAAAACAACGGTTTCTATAAGTAAATACTACCTGTTCAATGATGAATGTATTTTTTTTTATTCAAACGAAACCTTCGTTTACATACAAAACCTCAAAGACTTGCAGGTATAGCTAGTTTAAATTCTTTTAAACTAGCTATACCTGCAAGTCTGTGAGGTTGTTAGTTGTGTTGTTATAAAGTTAAAATTGTCCTCATACTTCCAGTGGATGAAAACGAATTAATCTCTTCCCCTAGGTTTTTTAAATGATTTTTACATAGACTTCTTTTCTATTCTATTGCTGCATTATTGGTATTAGCATTAGGTTTTATGAAATTTGTGAGTTTGGAGTAAAACATATTAGAATTTGTTTTTACGTGTTACAGTAGCAATTATTTAATAATAATCCTAATGGATTTAAAACCAGATAGGTATTTTGTGAAATATGTATGTTGAAAATGAGAACTTTGCTTTAATTTATATCTATGTATTTAGTAGTTTAACACTAAAATATTACTTATTAATTGTTATTAAGTACATATTAATTGTTACTATAATTGCAAGAACATGACACAAAAGAATGAATTATAGGAAATAAATCTCAAGAGTAAATACAAACCAAGGATCAACACTAACTGTACTTTTTCCTTCTGAGAATTGATCTTAACTCAAGCAGGGTATTGAACGCAACAGGTTTAGGGAAAAAAAGGTAAAAAGTTTATACCCCACTATAAGGCATCGAACATAACGTAATAACTTTAAATTTTATTGAGCTTTAATATTCAAAAGCCCTTGAAGTATACAAGAGCTCAAACGAACTAATTATAAATAGTAATTTTAAACGTTATAAGCTTTATGTACCTGTATATACAAATGCAATACAAAAAAAACAGTAAGAGAATTTATTCTAACCTAATTATGTCAATAGCAGTCAAATATAAAACACAATAACATTCACTGCCAATAAATAATAAACACAAATTTAAAGCCTAGAACAAATAAATAGCATACTTATAAATTGTATTAATAAGATCGTTTTTTCCTTGAACGTGCGGTGTTGCATTGACTATTTTAAGTATTTGCCATCGGGCTTACTTTGCTACTTTCTTCAATTCCTTTATATTTTGTATGCGAGCCGTTATATCGACCTCAGTGATCTGGGACTGGTTTAGAGAAATGGTCTCAATGTTTATAACGGAGACACACCGTCTTTGGCCGTCACTGACGAAGGACTTGCGACTACTTTCTTTTCAAATGTAAGTACGAAAAACATTTTGCTTTGTTTGAATTTTAACTTGCGTGAAAGCGATACGCTGGCCGCGTTAGGCTACTTCCAGAAATCTACGTATCCAATATTGTTATTCTTTGTAACATTACATTGAATAGCATTTTGAAAACGTAGTAATGATAAAATTATTGTATATTTAATTTATTATAACATCAAGGTATTTTTCTATTACGAGATAGTTATTTATCCATTCTATTATTTATCATACTTACGGAAAAAAATGTATAACTCGATATTATTTTTTTATTCCTACATATTATAGTTTATAATACCTTTGCCCCTTACTTCGTTCGTCCGTTTGTAATAGTTTTTTTATATGTATTAATAAAATAAATAAAATATGTAAGATAAAAGTGTCCTAAGTAAACAGCTATTACATCAAATTATGGCAGTTAAAATCTTGTCACGAATTATTTAGAGATAAGCTGGATCAACCAGATTGCCAGACAAAGATTGTAACAAAAAATTAATTTAGTTACATATACACCTTACGTGTATACATCTGTAACCATAGAGAATAGAGCATTTATTTTAATACTTTAAATGTGTATACGTGAATACTTCCTATGATTTACATAATGTACATACATGTATATTACAAAATGAAAATATTATTATCTATATACTTCGTATAAAATACATTACCTAAACGTAATCATGATCATTGGATAGCTACATTTTCTTTTTTCTATTGTATTCACTAGCTAAAAAAGAATATTATAGTCTACAAAATAATAATACATACAATAATCATTTGTGTTCCAGAAAACAATGAGGTGTCTATTGCTAGTGATATGCGCATTGACGTTGGTGGCATCGGGCATCGGACAACAAAACCAGTTCCCTCACCGATACGACAACTTTAACCCTGATTCAATTATCCAGAACGACAGGATACTACTTGCGTATTATAGATGTGTCATGGACAAAGGCCCTTGCACGAAGGACGGCAAGAATTTCAAGCGTGAGTACATAAAAAATGTTGCTTTGAAATACATATGGTGTTATGTCCTAGGCTTTAAATTTTAATCATATTTATGATGTTTGTTTTCAGGTGTCCTCCCAGAAACACTATCAACAGCATGTGGTAGATGTTCACCTAATCAAAAAAGCGTAGTTCGTAAGATGCTACTAGGTATTAGAGCGAAGAGCGAACCTCGCTTTTTTGAACTCTTAGATAAATACGATCCAACGCGAGTCAACAGAGAAGCACTATATAGTTTTCTTATCACCGAAGACGAAAGAAACTTTTGAAACTTTAAAATAAATTATAATAAAACTAGCTTTCCGCCCGCAGCTTCGCCGCGTGGAGTTCGGTTATATCGCGTTTCCAAGAGAACCTTTCAAAAGTCTGGGATAAAAACTATCCTATGTTCTTTCTCAAGGTCAACTCTATCTCTGTACCGAATTTCATTAAAATCAGTTCAGTGGTTTAGGCGTGAAAGCGTAGCAGACAGACAGACAGACAGACAGACAGACAGACAGACAGACAGACAGAGTTACTTTCGCATTTATAATATTAGTAGGGATATCTCTGTTTTAAGAGTGTAATTTAATATTTATTATAAATAAAAATATTTTGTATAGCGATTTGTTTTTATATATTTTTTACGCAACATTGGCAATTTAAAACTTGAAGATATTATAAACATATAATATTACACTTCAATATATCTTTATATTTATGGCATGGATACTTTAATTAAGAAAAAAAAAAACAATTGTTTCTGCATTTCTGATTGATTTTTATTTCCTGCGTTGAAGAGAGATATCAATGAATTAATGAACAAAAAGTAATTTTATTCTCTTGATCATAAAGTCTTGTTGCCACGACAAGGGCAATTCAGCTGCTATAATTAAATCATTGCTATTCTTTATGCATACCATACCGAAAAAGATTATATTATGGACAATATAAATACGGGATTAAACTATTTCTAATCATATGTTAGAATCTCAAGTCAGATACACACGTTCTTATAAACAATTAAAAATGAAGCTTTTTATTTTGCTGCTCTGTGTTTTTGCTGCGGTTATTGCTGAAGAAAATTCTGGTCTATCAGTTGAAAACATTGATCTTACCGAAGTTGTAGGAAATAATAAACTGATAGAGTCTTATGCTAAATGCTTGACTAATAAGGGACCGTGTACCCCTGAAATACAAAAACTTAAAGGTGAGTCTCAAAAATATATTTATTATACAATACCATTAAGGCAGTGAAAAAAATAAAATAAACATTATTTTCTTAAAAATAAAATTGTACCAAGCAGCTATCTATCGCATATAACAAATATGTCTTATGAAAATACTTAAAATATAAATTCAACTCTTGCTATCTTGGTTCTTTTCATACTCTCGTAAGCATTTGCGAAAGGTTTCATAGCAAACCCATTTTTGAGAATGATACTTCTCGGCCATTTCCCAAATAGTTTTAAATTTTTCCTCATCAAATTTATATCCAGCTCTTCCAAATACTTCCATGATTGTTTTACGATCACGTCTAGCGTATAAATCACGATGGCTTACACCTAAACTCGTGAGAATACTTGGAAGCAAACAGGTTCTAGCGTCAGATTCATGAGGAAGATAAGTTCTATCGGCCTTGCAACAACCTTCAGGTGTAATGGGATAATCTTTGTCAAAATATCTTCCTGAAGGAATACCAGCCATGTTCCTTGTATCAATTTCTTGATTTTCTCTTACCATATCTCCATACGTTGTTCTGAAATCTAAATATTCTTCCGGTACATCATAAATTTTTGGCAGTTCAGGCGATGGCTCTCTATAATTTATTATATGTACAAATGATTTATAATTAATTCTATTATTTACTTCATCAAACGCTTTCCAAACAGTCAAAAGAGGTTCAATTAATGATGACTGGAAATGTATGAATCTTATTTTACATTGTTCATAAACAATTTGTTTCGGTAACCAACGTGTATGGGCTTTATCTAAAAATTTTAACTGTAAATAAAATTGATAAAAAAATGATCCATCAAAGCGCTTACTCAAACATTTTCTTACAGTATTTAAATGGCCTAAGCATTGTATCAGTAATTCTTTATATTTGTTTACTTCACAAGACCTCAAACACTCTATTAGTTGTTCTCCTGGTGGATATATTTTTCCAAAAGCAAAACCTTCCGGGACACGGCTAATATTATTATTAGGCATGATAGATGTGGCTAACTTAGAAGCTGTTTCATTTTTGAATTTGGCCTGTATGTCAGCTATTGTTTGTTTTAATGCAGTACCTAAAGTTACTCTATCATCAGTGAGACAACATTTCATAAACTTTCCAGTACGATCTCCCTCAGCTTTTATTCCGAATGTAGAATTTTTGTTAAAAAAACAGTAATTGCGGTTTACCTGGTAACCTGGACTTTTTGATTTCGGAGTTTTATCAATAATGGGGTTCTTAGGCAAAATTATATCATATGCACTATCATGAGTTCGCTTGTCCAAACCACATGGGGTACTATAAATATTGAAACCTTCAGGAAGTGTAGGCACGGGGTCAGAAATTTTACCTACTGCTTTTTTCCAGTATGATGAATAAGTTGTATTTTTAAAGTCTTCTACTAGAGTTTGCATTTTTGTTTTAACTGGGGGATTGAGAAGTTCAGATCCCTCACTAAAAATACTTGCATATCGCATATCCCGTTTTTTTACTTCCTTTATTGGAGGAAATTTAGTCTTCAAAGTGGAAGGCTCAATAGCATCACTTATTAGTGCATCAACTTCGTCTTGTAAGCTATACCATTTTAATGGAGAGCTTATATTTTCTAGAGGTTGATCAGTTGGTTTACCAGCAGCACATATTTTATTGTTCCGTTCAATAAACATGTCTTTGTTTCCCTTCCCGCCACTTACATTGTTTTGTCTTATTTGAGGCATATTATAGTCTTAAATATATTGATAACAGTTAACACTATTTAAATTAATTCAATTAAATGGAAGAAAATATCCTTTAGGATAAATAGAAACCATATTTAAGCAAGTGTCAAAATACTTATGAATCTGAATAATCACACTTATAGTCATTTTGTTTTTGTATACAACTTTTTAAAAACTGATTGACAGCTAGAAATATTAAAGGAAAAGGTTTTAATAAATCATAAATTTCATAATACAATAGTTATTATATTATTAGTTATAGTAATAATAGCTTTTACACTTTTAGTTAAAGATAGGTATATCATGACTTTAACTGGTAATATTAACTAAATATATATTAATTATATAGACAAACCTGCAAGAATAAATTTATGTGAAAATTAGTTCTAAATCTTTTTAACCGTTATAACAAAAATAAATTACTGGTTTATTTACAATATATACAAATATGATTTTAAATTATTTTAAGTGTTTAAATACACGTTTTATCGTTTTGATTTGATTTTTACGATTTTGCTTTGCTTAAGCTTATTAATAAAGAAAAACCCTAACGACACTAAAATATAGTAAATCTTAATTAAAACTATTAACATTACTATCAGGAAGCTTATATTTTAGGATCGTTAAGTTTAACATTTTTTAAATTTTGTATCCGTTCTTATTATAATAAGAAATGGATTTCTAACACCTCTTAATCTACTTATTTTTGATGCTTACAGCATTAATACCTGAAGCTATAGAAACCAAATGTTCAAAGTGCACGGAAAAACAAAAAGAAATAGGGAGGCAATTGATAAAAGATGTAAGAGAAAAGCATCCTGAAGTCTGGAAAGAATTAACAGCTTATTTTGATCCTGAGGGCAAATACAGGGAAAGCTTCGAGGAATTTATTAAATCTTAAATGAACAGAAACGATTTTTCATACTTATAATGTATATCTTTTAGTAAAATAAAACCATATGAGCAAAGACTTTTTTGTTTTAAAATCTCATATATTAAAATCAATCTATATAAAGGACACATCAATATATAAAGAACACATTTCACTCAATTTTATTTCTTTTTTTCTTCACTATTATCATAATTTTCTAAAGCTCTGCGAAATGTTTCATAGCAAACCCAACCCTGTGAATGATATTTCTTAGCCTCTTCCCACACATTGTTAAATTTTTCATCATCAAATTGTTCACCAACTGCTTCAAATACTTGTCTGATGACATCGGGGTCTCGTTTTCCATACATATCCCGATGATTAACATGAAGCAATGTAAAAACACTAGGACAAAGACAGGCTTTCATATCAGATTCATGAGGAAAACATGACCTGTCAGCTTTGCAGCATCTTTCCGGTGTTACTGGAAAGTCTTGATCGAAATATCTTCCTGAAGGTAGCCCTGCCATCAAACTTTTATCTTGTTCCTTATCAGGTTTGACCATCTCCGTATAGGTAGTACGAAAATCCAGACAATCACTGGGAACGTCTTCTATTTTTGGAATTTCCGGTGATGGTTCTCTATAATTTATTACATGAACAAATGTTTTATATTCAATGTTATCGCCATCAAAAGCTTTCCACATTGACAATAAAGGTTCTATTAACGTTGAATCAAATCTTATTAATCTTGAAGCACATAATTTATAAACAGTATTTTTTGGAAGCCAATTTGTTTTTTCTGTATCATAATATTTAAGGTTCAAATAAAACTCTCTAAAAAATGTTGGTAGAAATCGTGTTGATAGACATTTTCTAAGAGAATTAAGGTGAGCGAGACATTTCCTAAAAAATAGCCTTCCTGGATTTAGCTCGCAAAATGTCAGACATTCAGGTAAGTTGTCAGGTGGTTTCAGCTTTCCAAAAGAGTAACCTTCAGGTAAATTATTAATATTTTGATTTGGACTTAGAACTACACCAATTCTAGGCTGATAAATATCTTGAAAATTTGCCTGTATTGTATTAACAATAGTTCGGCTACTTGTTCCCAATATCATTCTATCATCTGTGACACAGCACTTAGCATACGTTCCCCGTTTATCTACAAATGTTCTATGTCCATAAGTTAAATCATTATTAAATGGTGGTGCGCAGTAATTGTACTCCTTTTGCACACCAGGATCTTTTGATTTTGACGTATTATCAATTTGAGGCTCTTTTGGCATTACAATATCATATAATCGTCCATGAAATTCGGTTTTTTTACCAAACGTTGTTCCTTCAATATCAAACCCTTCAGGAAGCATAGGGACTGGATCACTAGAACGACCAAGAGGTTTTTTCCAATATGATGTATAAGGAGTATCCTTGAAATCATCAACAAGGGTTTGAAATTTAGTCTTTATTGGAGGATTTAATATCTTAGCAACGTTTCCGAAAGGACCAGCATAACGCATATCCAATGGTATGGGATGACGTAAAGGAGGAAGAGGAAGAGGTTTTTTAGGCGGCATGATGGTATCGCTAAGAAGAGCATCAACTTCATCTTTTAGAAGATAATGTTGCAGAGAATCAGCGACTACTTCATCTGGTTGTGCTGTTGGTAAACCTGCTGCGCAAATGTGGGGATCTCTCTCAATAAACATATTCAGGTTTCCTTTCCCCCCTGAAGTTGAACGTTGACAATCTACAGGCATTGTTATATATTAATATGAAAATAACACAATATAAAGTAATAATAAAATTGACAGTCATACAAAACAAGTCTGATACATTTTGACAAAAATTGTTATTCATAAAATTGTGCTGTCAAAACTAATACCTATTATAATTTTAAAAAGTTTGAATAAGTCAATGCTAGCCTTAAGTATATAGTCACATTATTTGAATATATCATTCAACTTAAAACGGACATAACATAATTATATGTTTACATTTGCAATAACAGGTTACTACTGTATCTAATAATGGAGTACCTACCTCATATAATGATAGATTAACCTCAATATATAAATATGACGAAGAGCATATATTTGCTTTAGTGATCAAAGTCTCTGTTTGTCCGTTTCATAAAAGAAATGTTCAAAGATAAATATTAATCAATTAATATAACAAAATAAAATTGATAAATTAAGAAGTGAGTAAAAAAAACTATTTTAGCGATGTCCAACTTTTAGAGACTATTCTAGAACTTTGTTTTTAGTTATAAACAGAAATTTGCCTAAATTAATTTTCACTCATCTTTTCAATAGTTTTTAAGTGAACAATATTATTTTTACGTTTTAATATTAAACGCATAGTAAGCCACTAACAGTTTTTTATTTCAGTTGTATTATGGCAACAGTTTATATTTTCATCTTTGCTACAATATCAACATTAGTCTTGGCAGAATTTTATAGTTCCCGCTATGATGATTTTGATATACAGCCTCTACTAGAGAATGATAGAATTTTGTTGAGCTACACCAAATGTTTTCTTGACCAAGGTCCATGTACTCCAGAAGCAAAGGATTTTAAAAGTAAGTTACATTAACGTACCTAGAGATCTTTAGAATCTTAATTTAAGCAAAAATATAATTGTTAACATCCAGATATATGCTTAAACTAAGAAATCAGTATCAAGTCGAGGCCGTTAATAAATGAGTAGAATAATAATAATCAATTGGTCCCTATCCTTATAATAGATCACAAAACTCGCCGTGAGTGACTAAATTTGTGTAAAGCGGGTCAGTCATTTTTCGTTGTTTAGAAGAACTCTTTCGAAACTAATATTGCATTTATAATATTGATAACCGGAGAACGTAAGTACTCAGTTCCGAGGAGAACATTAAAATCGTTGTTGACGGTACATACATAGATCCTCTGCCTATTAACGCTGGCCTGCCTCAAAATTCAATGTTATCGCTGACTCTTTTCATTTTGCATATGAAAGACTTACTAAACCAAGAAAAATTTTCAAATTTCAATACCAGTATAATTTTAAAAGCAGGTCTCCGAATGAAATAATTCGAACCATCAGTTCAAAACAAAGAATACATGAATTTCTACGAGCGATGTGGTATTTCTCATCGAGATAAATGCGTTTACTATACATAGCACAATTACATTGCAACATGGAGTAAGTTTCTCACCTCGAGTCCGGTGACTCTCCAATAACAAGTACGTCCACTTTACTCCCCGCAACGAAATGCAAATCAAATCGTCGACAAATCATTCACTACTTTAATTGTAAGGCAGTAAGAGCATGACCTTAATTTTTATATTCCGTCTGTATATGGAGCAAAATGTTGAAAATTAAACATAACGCCATCGCCATGAATTATTTTTTTTGCAACAGTTTTTGATGTTATCAACATCTTTTAAACAATTGAAAATCTAAATCTGTACCTAGGCTTAGGTAGATGTAGGCATCCATGTCTTTCTTTCTAAGCACGAGCAAGATATGGAATAATCTCCCCCCCTGATTTTGTCTCTGACAGCTACAATATGTAATTTTTCAAAAGTCAAATGATGAGGTTTCTCTTGGGAAAACAGGGCTGTCAAAGTGTTTGCAAGAACAATTACATGGAAGATATCCATGGGCAACGCTAAACATTTACCAACAAAACGACGGTTTACTAATTTGCCACATTTGTTACATTTTTATTACTGACTACACTTAAATAAAACTTTATTTTAAAATTTATTGTAGTCTGACATTTAATGAGCTTCAATAATAATTAGTTTATACATTTATCAATGTAAAGTAACCATAACAAAACTGTGACACTTTTTTCTTTCCAAAAAAGGTGAATAATCAAAGATAGATAGATAGACCATCAGAATCCAATATACATATTTATAATGGACCCCCAACAAATGGACCACTTAACTTAGTTCTTTATTGATTTTATTATTATAACACCAGTATCAACTCTAACAAACGTTATTCACAGAAAAGATCCAAAAATTGTAACGAATTGTTTCCATTGACTTAGACTGTAATACCAACAGTGATAAACAATGTGATTGTCAAAATATTAATCATATCCTGTAATAGTTTCTTATTTATTTATTTCGAAAGTCATTATTATCTTATTTAACACAAAATATTCAAAAATGTGATTTTTGACATATATTCGATATTGACTTCAATTTTAGAATTCCTTTCAGAGGCAATACCTGAGGCTTTAGAAACAACTTGTGGTAAATGCTCTCCAAAGCAAAAACAACTCATTCGAAAAGTGATTAAGGCATTAATAGAAAAACAACCACAGGCCTGGGAGCAGTTAGTTGAAAAATATGACACGGAGAAGAAATATAGAGAATCTTTCAATAAATTCATAGAGGAAGAAGATTAACTTCATACACAAGATATGCTTAACAGTGATAATTTCGTAATATTAAAAATAATTTGTTGAAATTGCATATACATTTATTCATTAATTTTGTTTTACTAAACTTTAATAAACTAATTCAAACTACTTAGCAAAATTAATGTTAAATACAGACGATTAAAAAATACAATAAATTTCATATTTTAACAGTTTATTATCATCAAAAATAAATTGTTTGATAACACAGTTCTTTATATTTTATTCCGAACAAGAATTTAAACAAATTATATAAGCTCTGCTTCCATTTTTATGGAAATTGTTTCAGTGCTTCTCTTTGACAGCGTCAATCTTGTTCTTGTACTTTTGTTGGTAGATATCCTTAGGATCATATTTTCCTGCGAGTTCCTTCCATAAGTCTGGCCGCTTGTTAACCAAATGACGAATAACTTTATCAGCCGATGTCTTTTGTTTTTCCGTACATTTCTTGCAATCATTTTCCAGAGCGTCAGGCAAAGTTTCCTTCAGAGTTTTTGCATCTGATGTACAACGACCCTTGTCAACTAAACAGTCAACATATCCTCTCAGGAGACGTTGGGACTCCAAAATTTCATCAACATTGATGTTATCCCATTTGTCAGTATAATGTTGTGGCCTACCCCAAGCTACAGCGACTAAACTCAGCAATGCCAACAATACACACGACTTCATATTGAAACTGAAAATAATAAAATAAAATATTATATACATCTGAGCTACAGAGTTCAAATATTATATTCAATAGTATATACAATATTTTGAATTTACAAATGCTATCTGTTAGCATTATAGAATTTTTTATCATTACCTACTTAGTAAGAAATGTTTATCAAGACACTAATTGCTGCGATTGTCCATTGTTTATACATAATAAATAACAAAGCTATTGTGACTAGATTCTTGATGAATTATGTATCTATACCTACATTGAGAAGGTGGGATTAGATACACATACACACATATGTATATATATGTATATATATATGTATAACTGGTATAAATCGTTTAAACCTGTTATTTCTAGACTTAACCCTAAAACAGACTACAGATGAAATTACTACTATATAAAATTCAGATACTATTTATTAACAATTAAATTTAAAAAGTTTTATCCAAAAATATATATAGATAAAATCGTTTAATTTACTTTATTTTCATATATTTCTTACATAATAATTTAAATCTCACTAAATCGATATATTTTTAAAAAGGAACAATTATATTCGTGAGTTCCTTAATTATTTTGAACGCAAATATATTTAACGACATTTATATAAATTTTCTCTAAGTATATAAAATTTTAACCATTTGTAAAACATAAACTTTCTCTCCTTACAAATTAACAATCAAGAAAAAACGTAAATTAAAAAAAAGATTTTAAATAACCAAAAAAATTACACGGAGCAAATTTTTCGGAAGCAAATAAGTGAAAATAATGCATGCAATTAATTATATTCCATGATAATTCTTAATTAAAATAAAATAAAAAAACGCTGTCTACCTACCTTTTTATCCCAGTTGACTGTGATCGTATCTAGCTGTGTTGTGATTATTTCTTGTCTGGGGAAGATTATTTATACTGCATCTATCGAGTGGTTACTAAACATTGTACTATTGAATATAATTATTAGAGGCTTGTAAATAATAATGAATAATTAATTAAAGAAAAGTTTCCTCCGGAAGAATCTTGTCGTCAGTATTTATTAATTACTAGCTGTGATCACAGATAAAAATACAAAAATATTGTACTATGAATTTTATTTATAAAAACAATTGACATTAAAGCAGAGGTAAGCTATCTATTAATATTTAAATTCGTAAATAAATAATGCAGACGGAAAAACTTTTGACATGTGAAGAAATAGGAAATAAAATATTTAAAACAAAAGCATTTTCTTATAAAACATTAAGCGTATTATTATTTTATAAGGTTAAGAATTAGAATTTGAAAATGAAATACATAATTAATAAGATAAAAGTCTATTTTTTATTAAATCTTTTCGGGAAAAAATATTACTAAAGTTTATTTTATTTAACTTTATAGGTGAATGAAGAAAATATAAAAAAAATGTGTTATATAGCAATCAACTACCATGAACTACTACTTATCTCTTAATAAAAAGGATGGATATTGATGAAAAAGGGGAATGAGAATTTTTAGAAATAATGTACTCTTTTTACATTACTCCCTTTTATATAGCATATGGAATTTATTTTGTAAACTCAAAAAACACAAATGTTCACTTCAATAGTAAAACCTATGACTGATATTAAAAGCTACTAAAAATACAATAAAATCGAATTCAATATAACATATATCTTATGATTAATTATTAGCTGTGTTCAAATAGTTACATATTTTTTCTTAATAGGCAGAATTTGTAAGATAACATTGACAATTGCAACAAATGGGCTCAATGTTTTCTCACAGTTGGTAGAAAACAAGCCTTAACTTTTTGTAATGTCATTATGTTCATAAACATGTTTATTTTATGTTTTCAAGTTATATTTTTAATTTCTTTGTCAAGATATTCTGTATATTACCTAAAATTAATATTAATAATAGTTTAAAGAATAGTCAAAGTATTTTATCCAATCTGAAGTCAACTTAAATAAATCTGAAAGAATAAAATATTCCATTCAAACAAGTATGAAGCTCAAAATAGACTCCTTAAATTTTACATTATAAATAAATATTATTTTTATATTAAAAGTAGTAGGACGTTATTTTACAAATACATAAAGATAAAAATGAATAAAGTCTAGATCAAGTAGAAGCTTACTTCTTAGGATCTTTTAATTTCTTATTACTACTACATTAATATTAATCAATTAACTGGAAGTGCAGAAACAAGAAGTAGACAACAAATTATGATATACAGATACAATTTATGATACTAGTCCACAAATTTTCCTCATTTGTACAAGATAGGTAACTTTAGTACAGCTGTTAAATATAATTCTGAACAACATTATTATTCATCGAGCGACATTGATTCCAAATATTAGAAAGGTTTTAGGTAGAAAAGTAGTAGTAGTAGAAGTGAGAATTTTAGTTGTCAGTCCATTTCTTAAACTTGATGATAATTCTGTTTTAGATAATATTCTAATTCGATCAAACTAAAAAATACATGGTCGTTTATTTTTTCCAAGTATTTAGTTATCAATTCAGACAAACATAGGACGCTATATTACACAGAAAGAAGATCGATAAAGTAATAATTATGAAAACTCATAAATAAATACATTTTTTCCTCTCAATGCTTTTTCCGCAATCGTTAGTAATAAAGAACATTATCAAGGAAACCAAAATGTCAAATGTTTTTATGGGTAGTAGTGAATTTAATCTTCGTAATACATATATTCATTTGGTTAACAGAACTTACATGATAGTTGAATAACATGCACTTGTTGCGTCATTTGTAGAATATAAATTAATCTAAATTATCGCTTATAATTGCAATGAAGCGGTCTTACAGGGTCGCGACCGAGGAAACTGTAGTTGGTTATTGTTTTTTTTTTTTGCTTATAAAATAAATACTAGTATTTCTCAAGTATTTCTTAGTTATGTCTTTGTTTGCCTGCTTGAATCTAATGTTATATTTTCAGAATTTATGATAGACAAATAGTTTGAAGATGGAAGAGACATTTACAACATCTTATTCTTGTGATAGCCACAATCCACATCTTCCAGCCAGGCCTATAAAATCCTGTGGTTCGCTGATTTAGATGTAACGTATAACATGTGTATTTGTATAAGCACAACATCGTTTTATTTCTAAAATAACATCGTAATCGTAGGTAAATGTTCTCAGACTTATTCTCTATGCTTAGGAAATCACATGAGATGTTAAGAGATTTGCTCGTAACTATTACTGTAGAATCCAGAGAAAGTCACTCGTTTTCTAATCTAAAAATCTAACGTAAAAATCCTTGATAATCCTTAATAATCGTTATGGGTAAGTTTAAAATAAAATACTCAAAGCAAAATAATTTATTTGTTCTTTTTATATTATATTTATAAGCGCTTTAACATTAATAGATATTAATTTTATAAGCGCCATCTGTTTAAAAACATAGAAACTATTTATAAATGTATGAGCTACTAGAATAATATTAGCAGCCTTCTTTACAATATTTCCTATAGATGGTAGTATTATAAAGAGAAATTATTTTTTATAATAGACATTTCGATTATTTAAACAAATAAAGTATCCTTAATAGAGGCTTCTTTATACTTCATAAGTTTGCTGAGAATTATTATTATTATTTATTTGTTTGTTATTCATACCTTTGTAAAGTAAATTTTTTAATAGTATTTTTCATCAGGAGATGATAATAATTGATTTCTTAATAAATCTAGTTCCTACTCTAATAAAAGAATTGCCACATAAAATTCGAATCAGAAAAACTAAAGATACTTTGCTATTTTTTTTAATATTATTATTATTAAAAAAATTAAGACATTATTTTCTGTTTCCTCGTTATTATATTATATTTTTCAATATATATAAATAGAAAAAAAACAAAGACATCACAAACATAACGCAGTTCTATTGGCTAATGGCAACTTCTTTTTCCTGTGCCTAGGAAGCCATAGCACTAATAAACAAAAAATCTCTTTGAGCCATGTTTTTGAATAAATAAAAAGGGTACAGATACTATCTCACTTGCATTTTCTTCTGCATATCCTTCCTTCCAGAGTTAATAGTTTTTACAACAAAGGTTTACGTTTCTATCGTCACAGCAAAGGAGTGGAATAGTATACTAAATACTTGCATTTATGTTTCCTTTCCTTCCACTTACAATTTTGTTGTCTCCAAGATTAGCTTTTACTAAGACAATACATTAACAACATACTCCTTAGGCCTTTACCTCTTCCATCAGATGAAATTGTATTCAAACACTATCCATTTGTATGTATAAAACATGGTTAGTGTTTCCTTAGATATCTTTAGATGAACTCTAAACAATTTATAGTGATATAATATACAATAGTTCAACATATATTTACACAGAGTTCACGTTTACATTACTTGTTGCAGTATAATTTTCCATTATCATAATTTTTATAAATTTCTTTTTATTTATACCCGTTGTACATGCACCTATTAAGCTATTATTACCAAAAAAAGTCGAGGCCCTATAAACTAATTACTAATTTGTATGAAATATTACTAGCGATAGTAACATCGACCGCAAATAAAGGCATAATATTACGTAAGCAGAACCGTAATCAAATGTAACATGATACAAAAAATCACTCCTCTCTGTAATCGTTTTTAGATTCGAATTGATTCGATCATCGATATTTGTGTTCATGATAAAAAATATACTCAAACAAAATATGATCTAAAGACTCCGTATCAGTTAAATAGGACTAAGCGGAGGAAAAGAGGAGAAATTTTGAATTATTTACAAAACATGTATCAAACAAGTCTTAAACATCAGTAGTTATGAGTTATACTTAAATGTAAGGGTAAAATATTTTAATCCTAACGTCAGGAATACGTCGATAAAAAACGTAACATAACATCACATTTTGAAATTTATTTATAGTTTTTTTAACCTTGCTTGTAAATGGTTTATCTCACCAAAAACATGTCTGTTAAAAAGGGGGCCAAGTTCCAATCGGCTAATTGTTTGCCTAAAAAAGGGTTGAAATCCAATCT